CAGCTGCCTTCCCCGGGACCACCACCCTTTTCTGCCACAGACGCAGGCGGGCCCTGGAGCCGCCGGGCCCACAGTCCCTCTGGGTGTGAGGGTCCTGGCGGCTGCAGGGGCTCAGGTGGAGGGCAGCCCACACCGCTGGGCGGCACTTCCTCCCCGCCCGGCCTCCCTGAGGCCGCCCCGAGCTGCCGGCGGGGGCTCCTGCCCTGGCCCTCCTCGCTCTGTGACTGTGAGTCCGGGCAGGGCCGCTGAGCGCCTGAGCCCCCGGGGTGAGGCTGGGCCTGCCGCCCCACATGTGCCGCCGAGCGGGGCTCCCAGTGCCCGGCGGGCACACAGAACCGGGGCACCTGGAGGGCCTCTCGTCAAAGCCACATCCCCACGCAGCTCAGGACTCGTCACACTGAGGGCAGAGCCCCTGAGAGCCCACGGGGTGTAGCCACATGGGGCGTCCCGAGCCCCGAGCCCCGGCAGGGCCCGTCCAGCGGCCTGCCAGCCCTGGCAGCGAGTCCCTCGGCTCTGGGCTCCGGGCGGCCCAGCTCAGGAGTGAGAGGCCTCCGTCCACACAGCGGGCCGGGCACCCAGGCCTCAGTGAAGCGAGGTAGGGACAGCCTGTCCTGACCCCAGCGGGGCCGTCACCCCTGGGCCGGGGCCAGGGGAGAGGCGGTTCCAGGACCTGCACGTGGGCCGGCCTCCTGGTGCCCCACCCGCTGCTGCCAGGCCCCAGCACCCAGCCTGCTCCCTCGGGCCATGTCTCCCAGGACTGTGCTGGGACCCACCCACCATCAGCCGAGGCCCCTCGGCCGGGCCTGTCCCGGGAAGTGTGCTGCGGGTGGCTGGCCGAACGGCCAGCATCCTGGGAGCCAGGCCAGCCAGGGGGACCCGGAGACCAGGAGATGGCCTGAGACGCCCGTCTGCACACTTTGGCACCTCCATCTGCTCTTTGGCTGCAAATCAAGAATTAGCTCAGCTGAAACCGGTGTGGCTCAGTGGATAGAGTGTCGCTCTGTGGTCTGAAAGGTCCCGGGTTTGATTCCGGTCAAGGGCATGTATCTTGGTTGCAGGCACATCCCTAGTAGGGGGTGTGCAGGAGGCAGCTGATCCATGTTTCTCTCTCATCGATGTTTTCTAGCTCTCTATCCCTCTCCCTTCCTCTCTAAAAAAATCAATAAAATATATTTTTTAAAAAGAATTAGCTCAGTCCTGGCCAGTGTGGCTCGGTGAATAGCGCATCGGCCTGCAGGCTTAAGGTCCCGGGTTCTAGTCCAGTCAAGGGCACATGCAGTTCTATTCCAGTGTGGGTCGTGGTGTGGGTCGTGCAGGAGGCAGCCGATCAACAGTTCTCTCTCTCCCTCTCCCTTCCTCTCTGATCTGCGTGTATATATAAAAGAATGCTCACGGAGGTGCTGCCACGGTGTGGGCTCGAGGCCCTGAGCCACCCTCTCAGCCCGGGTGTGGCCTCAGGGCAAGGGCACCTGAACCCCGAAGAACGGGCATGAGGCAGGCACGTGGGAAGGATTCTTTCCTACACACACACACACACACACACACACACTCACACACACACTCGCGCGCACACACACACACACACACACATGCACACGCACGCACACACGCACGCACACACGCACACCCACACACGCACGCACACACACGCACACCCACACACTCACACTCACACTCACACACACACACACACACACACACTCACACACACACACACACACACACACACGCGCGCGCACACGCACACGCAGATCTCCGAGGGGAAGGGAGAGGGAGAGGGATCCCTTCATTGTGATTGTGCCGGAGGAGCGCCTGGGACCCAGAGTTCCAGCTGCCACCGGGCAGGTGCGGGCCGCGCCCAGCCCTGAGGCCGGCACTGCGGCCCCACCTGCCCCGCACTTCCCAGGTCACTCCAAGGGCACATTCCAGGTCGGGGGGCCCACCCACTTGGGGAAGGGTTTCTCCCGCGGCCCTGCCTGGGGCTGTGCGTTCCTGTCTTTGGACCTACTATGTCCCAGGCCACACGCCCACCGGACCCACCCCTCCCCCAGCGCTCACCACCTGCAGGCTCTGTGCCGAGGCCGAGGGGGGCCCCTGTGCCCAGGCTGAGGGGCAGAACGGCCCTCCCCCCCGCCCCGGCCCCCTCCCCACCTCAGTCCCTGTGCGAGGCTGAGGGGCTACCTCACCCCAGGCTGCACAACGGCTGCAGAGCCACGGGAACCTGAGCTCATGTCCCTGCTCCTCCTCACACCCCGGCCCGACACCCAAGGCTCACCCGGGGGCAGGGCCGGCAGACGAGGGACAGTCCTCCAGTTCAGAGACCGGAAAGGGGGCGCACGCATTAACATGTTAAAAAGTGCCGTACATGTGACGTAGAAGGAGCATTCCATAAAAGGCACCTCTCTCTCTTTTAATCCTCACCCAGGATATTTTCCCATTGATTTTTAGAGAAGGAAAGCCAGGGAGGAACCTCGACTGGCTGCGTCCTGCAGGAGGGAGGCCTGGTCTGACCAGGGCCCGGGCCTGGAGGAACCTGCCACCAAAGTGCATGCCCTGGACCCGAATCAAACCCGGGACCATTCGGTCCACAGGCCGACGCTGTCTCCTCTGAGCCAAGCTGGCCAGCGCTGAAACTCAGGCTCTGTTCTTCAGATGTCCTAGCTGTTAATCTGATAAGAGCCTCTCCCCAAAGCCTGGGGACCGTGACCGAGTTAATGGGGAGATGCCGAAAGCCGGCGCTCTGAGGCGCAGGGACACAGGACGCCGGGCAGGCAGCCCTCCACTCCCGTCAGCCTGGGTGTGCCGGGAGGGGGGGAGCCGTAAGGACACACTCTGTTCACCGCCTCTGTGTGCACCAGGCCCCGGGGAGTCTGAGAGATAATGGTCACGCGCAGGGAGGTGGGCAAAGTGGTTGGGTTCGAAATCTACGTGCAAGATTCAGCTTTCACCCTACAGGTCAGCAGCTATGGTGGAAAGTAACTTTCCTGGCAGACGTTATTACAGCACTCCTGAAAGATGAAACTGAGAGGGGCGAGACCGGAGTGCCAGGACACCGGCTTTATTGAAAAGAGCACCCCTGCCAGCTGCTTCCAGAGAGAGAGAGAGAGGAAGAGAGCGAGGGCCAGGCTCATGAACTTTTTAAGGGGAGGAAAGGGGGGGGACGGGACTTAGGGCACTTGGCACACGCTGATTGGTGGCTTCGTGTAAGGCCTATGATGAGGGACCTAGGGACTTAGGAAGGGGGGCTTAGGGTATTTGGCAGGTGCTGATTGGTGGTTCAGTGCTCAGGAATGTCTGGCTGCGGGTGGAGTTGACCTCCCTCCGTCAATTGGAGGAAGGGAGGATCTATCTATCAACCACAAGTCAGGGGTGAGGTGCAGGGCGCTGCCAGGAAAGGCAGAAAAGGGGTCAGAGGCAGAGAGAGGCCCCAGCGAATGGAGACCATGCGGGGGCCAGAAGACTATAGACTCTCCTGGGCGTGATAGCGCTCTCCCAACTTGATTTACAGGATCATAGGAACTTCTGCCCAAATCCCAACCCAGAGCTCCCGGGAGGGAAATGCTGACTTCAACGTGTACAAGGAATGCAAAGGCAATCACACACACACACACACACACACACACACACACACACAGGCACGCCTGGCACCGGGTGCGGAGGTTGAAGCCCACCACGGCCACCTGAGCAGTTTCACTGAGAAACGCCGAGATCAAAGGTGGAGGGCGTGTCCCACCGAACCTGGGCACATGATGACAAGGACACTCAACCTCTGATGTCACAGTCTCCGCAACAGGAAGGCACGGTCCGATTTCTACGGTGTAGAGAGGAAAGGGGCCTGCCGTCACTCCATTCCCGGGGTCTGGGCAGCCGGGTCTCTCTCTACCAACCCCCTTCCCTCACCCCCCCATCCCCTACAAAGTCCTAGTACAGTGGTCGGCAAACTCATTAGTCAACAGTTTAACGACTGAAATTTCTTTTGAGAGCCAAATTTCTTTTAACTTAAACTATATAGGAAGGTACTGTTAATGAAAAAACAACTGAAACCTGTACAGAATTTTTGTGAGTTTATTTGAGCCAAACTGTTGACAGATGCCGGGAAGCAGAACCTCAACGGATTGAGATAATGCCTTGAAGAATGGAGGGTTACATTTCTATTTATACACTGCAATCAAAGGAGGGATGTAGGTGGATTACATGAAATTCATTGGTGATGGATTAAAGAGGTGGGATAAAGCAACGTTGTTGGGTTCGAAATCTATGTGCAAGATTCAGGTTTCCATAGGACTGGATAAAAAGTAAAATGATGGAGGGTACTTAGGTGAGAGCAGGAACAATCAACATGATAAAGAAGGAATTTGAGGCATCTGTCCTGGTGCTCACCGCATTTGGTTGTGCCCCAGGGGCTCCGGAAAAAGGGAAGTTACAAGTATCCCAGACATCTCACAGATATGCTATCTTAGAGGCCAGAAGGCAAACGGGCTCAGTAAAGAAGATCAAGGTTGATCTTTGTCAGGGAAAATATCAGCCTAGGACATGACTGCCCACTATAACCTGTTTGTAGTTAGATATTTAATTTTAAACCATCTTTTGTGGTTATTGTAGGTCTCTGAGTTTGCAAGACTGCCACACAGGCCTCCCCTGAGCTTGTCAGGTTAGCATGTGGCTCCTTTCGTTCACAGTACATTGTTATTAACTTAATTAGGGTACTCCTATGCTGGCCTTTGCTAAAAACTCAAGGGCCAAAGAGCCGCAGTTTGCCCACCACTGCCCTAGCGCATTTGGCAATAGTCTGGGCCCTCGGCATCACGAGGCCGCGGCGTGGTTGCCTGGGAAACGCTCGCGTGCCGTCGCAGGGTTTCCTGGGCCTTGTAGTTCGCCGGCGGCCTCGCCGGGGCTGGTCGCGGGGAGAAGGACTACAACTTCCAGGAGGCGGCGCGGCAGGGCGGGGCCTGGCGGGGCCGCTAGGAAGAGGTGCTGGGTCTCCGGAGCAGAGGAGGAAGATGGCGCCGCGGGGGCACGGACCCGGGCTGCGCGGGCTCCTGGCGCCGCCGCTGCTGCTGCTGCTGCTGCCGCCGCTGCTCGCGCCCTGGCCGGCGGCGGCCCACGGCGGCAAGTACTCGCGGGAGAAGAACGAGGCCGAGCGGCCCTCGCAGCGCGAGCCGGCGGCGGAGTTCCGCATGGAGAAGCTGAACCAGCTGTGGCACAAGGCCCGGCGGGTGAGCGGGGCGCCCCGCGGGGTGCGGGCCCGCAGCGCGCGTGCTGCTCCCCCCGCCGCTGCGTACGGGCCCCGGCGCCGTCCGGCTCCTCCGGGGTCTGCGCGGGGGCGGCGGCCTGGGCGCCGGGGGTGAGGGGCCGCGGGGGCCGCGGGCGGCGGCCTGGGCGCCGGGGGTGAGGGGCCGCGGGGGCCGCGGGCGGCGGCCTGGGCGCCGGGGGTGAGGGGCCTCGGGGTGCTGAGGCCCGTGAGCCGGGGCGGGGCGGCGGCTCCAGGGCTGCCCGGGCGGTGCCGCCCTCCGGGCTCGGGCCGCCGGCGCTGGTGCCGCGGGGGAGCGCCCGGGGACAGGGTCTGGGAGCCCCCGGCTCGCTGGGTGCTCGTCCCCACTCGGCGGTTGAAGCTGGTGAAGCGCCTGGGCCTCCTCTCCTCCCCTGGCGCCTCCTCCCTCTGCCCCGGGAGGGGCCCCGAGGTGGGGGGGGGGGCTGCTCTGTCCTTGGGGCTCCTTCCTCAGCCGCCATCCAGAAAGGGGGTGCTGGCGGCCTCCGGGGCCCCTGCTCCCACCGGGCCGGTGCAGCGGTGACCTCGCCCCGCCGGCTGCCTTGAGCACCACCGCTCGCCCCGCCAGAGCTGCGGGGAGACATCGCGTGTGAGCGCCGCACTGACCGGCTGCCTCCTGCACACATACGCCCGTGGCCCCAACCAGGCCGGGCCCAGGCACCTGCACCAGAATCCACCCTGGACCGTCAGCCTGCGGGCCAGACCCGCCAGGGCCAGCAGTTTCTTTAGTCTGCCGGGATGTGCTGACAGGCAGAAGGCGCGGTTAGGTCACAGCCAGAGCTGGAAATGGAGGGTCCCTGTGGGGCCATCGCCACCACCAGACATCCCGCCGGTCTCCGCCGCGTGGGTCGCCGCCTCTGCTGCTTAAGCTTGGGCTTTCTGCTTCGCTTCTGGCTCCTGTTGGCCAGCTCTTTTCCCGGGAGGCATTGACTTACAGATCCTAAAGGTCCCAGGGAGTGGGGCGGTGGGCGTCCTGTGCCCGCGGGCTCAGGCCCGGGCAGCAGCGGCTCCCTGGGGACCTGGGTGGCGACCATGCGGAGCTGTAGACGTCAGAGAAGCCGGTAGCCTCAGGCCACGGGGCCCAGGGCCCTTCGAAGCCCAGGAGTGGGTGCGGGCTGAAGGGCTGGCACCGGACTCTGCTGCTGCCTTCGGTGTCAGGTCACCTTGTCTCCGGGCCGTGTCTCCGGCTGCCTGGCAGCGGTGTCAGGTGCCCCTGTTTCCCGCAGCTGCAGCTCTCCCCCGTGGACCTGTCGGAGCTGCACGCCGACCTGAAGATCCAGGAGCGGGAGGAGTTCGCCTGGAAGAAGCTGAAGGCTGAGGGCTTGGACGAGGACGGGGAGATGGAAGCGAAGCTGATCCGCAGCCTCAACGGTGCCTCCCCCCAGCCCGGGGCTCCCCCCCAGCCTGGTGCCTCCCCCCCAGCCCGCCCCCCCCCCCCAGCCCGGGACTCCCCCCTAGCCCGGTGCCCCCCCCAAGCCCAGTGCCTCTCCCCCAGCCCGGGGCTCCCCCCCAGCCCGGGCGGCACCGCTGCGGGCCCTGGGCTGTGGGCGGGCCGGTGTGGGCAGCTTTTCTGGTCCCGTGTTAGTGGCGCCGATGGCATAGGGTCTCTGGGACACGGCCTGATGAGCTGGCCCACCGGCCAGGGCCCCACCGGTGCTCAGTGGGGGGCCTTCTGCAGCTTAGGGAGAGGGCTGGGCATGTCTGACATCGGGGCACCCCCAGCTCACATGGAGCCCCGGGGTCTGGCTTCCAGGTGAGGAAGTTCTGAGGCCCAGGCCGAGCCGAGAGCAGGCAGGCACAGCCCTCCAGGCGCTGGTGTGGAGGGGAAGGGCCGACGTGCCCCTCGCTGGCTGGCTGGGGAGAGACTGAAAGGGGCGGGAAGCCCACGCGGTTTCTAGGGAAGGTGGGGGGCTGAAGGGCAGGGAGGGGCCGACCAGAGGGGCTTGTCCCAGAGCCCTGGCCCACACGGTGCTGGATCCAGGTTGCTGACAGGCCCCAGAAGCAGCCTAGTGGAGCGAAGAGGGAAGTAGCAGAGGGAAGTGGCGGCTGGGGGCCTGGCTGCCCGTGGCGCGGCTGCTATTGGGGTGCGGCACCGAAGTTTCTCCTGTGGAGCCCCTCCCTCCAAACGGGCCCTGGTTAGGACACACGCACACGCGCGTTCCCGGCACATCTCCCATCCCGGAAACAGCTGCAGTGGGGCTGGGAGATGACCCTCGTCCCATGGGGCGAGGCGGCCGGCGCGGGGGAGGGTCAGGTCTGTCTCAGCTCTGCTGGCCCGGGGCCCCGGTGGTCACCAGAAACCCGGGAGGGAGGATCCTGGGAAAGGGAGGGCGGGCCTGCCCGCTGACGGGCGCCTGCTGCCCTCCTAGTCATCCTGGCCAAGTACCGGCTGGACGGCCGGAAGGACGCCCGGGAGCTCCACAGCAACTCCCTCTCCGCGGGCCCCGAGCCGGACAGCCTGGAGGACCCCCGGCTGGAGAAGCTGTGGCACAAGGTACGGCCGCCGCCCGCCTGCTGCTTCCGGGGGGGGGGGGGGGGGGGCGGGGCGGGGGGCGCCCCGGCGGTGCTCACGCAGGCCCCCCCAGGCCAAGACCTCCGGCAAGTTCTCCCGGGACGAGCTGGACAGGCTGTGGCGGGAGCTGCAGCACCACCGGGAGAAGGTGCAGGAGTACAACGTCCTGCTGGAGGCGCTGAGCAGGACCGAAGGTGCGTCCGCCGCCCCCCCCCCCCCCCGGGGCGCCTCCTGAGCCCGCCCAGGCCCCTGCTCGCTGCGGGGTGCGGGGACGGCCTCTCCCACGGACGCCGTTTGGCGCCGTGGCCTCTGGTGGGTGGTTGTGTGGTCGGCGACTCCCCCTCGGGAGCCGGGCCTGGCGGTCAGGGCTGCGGGCTCCTGAGCTCACGTCCGAGCTCCAGAGGGAGGGACGGGCTCTCGGGGACAGCCGTGGCCTCCCGTCACCGCCCCGCGCGTCTCCCAGAGATCCAGGAGAACGCCCTCAGCCCCTCGGACATGCGCGGCCCGCAGGAGGAGGCGCTGCGCAGCCGGCACGCCGACCTCAAGGACCGGCTGCGGCGCATCAGCCAGGGCTACGACCGGCTGCGCAGGGTCAGCCACCAGGGCTACGGCGCCGAGGCCGGTGAGCTGGGGGGCGGGGGAGTGGGGGGGCCGGTGAGCTGGGGGGCGAGGGAGTGGGGGGGCCGGTAAGCTGGGGGGCGGGGGAGTGGGGGGGCCGGTGAGCTGGGGGGCGGGGGAGTGGGGGGGCCGGTGAGCTGGGGGGCGGGGGAGTGGGGGGGCCGGTGAGCTGGGGGGCGGGGGAGTGGGGGGGCCGGTGAGCTGGGGGGCGGGGGAGTGGGGGGGCCGGTGAGCTGGGGGGCGGGGGAGTGGGGGGGCCGGTGAGCTGGGGGGCGGGGGAGTGGGGGGGCCGGTGAGCTGGGGGGCGGGGGAGTGGGGGGGCCGGTGAGCTGGGGGCGCAGGGGAGTGGGGAGACGGGGGAGGGGGGGCCCACGGGCAGGCACTCCGGCAAGTTCTCTGAAAGGTGCACATTCGTGGTCCCTTGGCCCATAACTCAGTCGGGACAGCTGGTGACACGCAGCTCCACGCGGTGGCCATTTACAGCCACTTCCTTCTGAGTCCCCTGCTCACACTGGCCAGGGCAGGGCTGGCAGGAAATGGCCACCTGCAGCGCGGCCTGTGCGCTGGGCTGAGCCGTGTGGGAGGGCGCCCGCGGTGCCTCCCCGGAAGCTGCACACGTGCGTGCGCGCTCGCGCTCACAGCACGTGTCCCGCCCACCTGCACGCGCACCGTGCTGGCGGCCACGCGGCCGTGCGGTGTCCGAGTGTCCTGCTCCCCACAGAGTTCGAGGAGCCGCGGGTGATCGACCTGTGGGACCTGGCCCAGTCCGCCAACTTCTCCGAGAAGGAGCTGGAGGCCTTCAGGGTGAGCCGCCCGCTGCCTGTCCGCGTCTCCCTGGCTGGGGCGGGGCCGAGGCCTCGCTCTCTCTGACCGCAGCTGTGGGTCCTCTCGGCTGCTCCTGCCTGTCCCCCCGTCCCCCTCCGTCCCCCTCCATCGCTCTATCCCCCTCCATCCCCCTCCGTCCCCCCCGTGTCCCTCTGTCCCCCTCCATCCCCCCATCCCCCTTCATCCCCCTCCGTCCCCCCGTCCCCCTCCACTCCCATGTGTCAGCCTCCCCGTGTGCGCGGGCTGCGGGGGGACGGGGGACGGTGGGGGTGGAGGGGACGGAGGGGGTGGTAGGCTGCGGCTGCTGGAGGGGGGACTCGGCACGGGGCCGTTGCAGGAGGAGCTGAAGCACTTTGAGGTGAAGATCGAGAAGCACAACCACTACCAGAAGCAGCTGGAGATCTCGCACCAGAAGCTGCGGCAGGTGGAGCGGTTTGGTGACCACGAGCACGTGAGCCGGAACAAGGAGCGCTACGCCATGCTGGAGGAGAAGACCAAGGAGCTGGGCTACAAGGTGTGCGGCCCACCTCCCCGAGCCCCCTTCCTCTGCTGGGGGAGGGGCTCCAGGGCCGGACAGCAGCCTCACTCCTGGGGGTGCTGCCTGGAGGGACGGGAGGGTGGGGGAGGGCTGCGAGGCTGGGACCTGGCAGGGGCTGTGGGCAGGGCTGTGAGCACCCACACGGGGGGGGGGGGGGGGCTGTGGACACCCACATGGGGAAGGGGGGCTGCGGGCACCCACACGGGGGGGCCTGCGGGCACCCACACGGGAGGGGGCTGCGGGCTGGCATGATGACTTGCTCTGGCACCTCTGGGAGGAGACGGGGAGGTGGTGGCAGCATGGCGCTCCACCCGTCCCCTGTCCGCTCCCCTGCCCGCTCCCCACCGCTCACTGCCCGCTCAGCCCGTCCCCTGCCCGCTCAGCCTGCTCACCGCCGCTCTCCGCGCTCCGCTCGGCAGGTGAAGAAGCACCTGCAGGACCTGTCGGGCCGCATCTCCCGGGCGCGCCACAACGAGCTCTGAGGACGTCCGTGCGGCCCGGGACCCGGGGCCGTGCCCAGCAGCGGTGGCCTCGGACGCCGTGTGCCCAGCAGGCTCTGCCCCGCACTGAGCGCTGATTTGCTGCAGCGTCACTGCGGGACCCTGACCCTCCGCGGGAGCCGGTGGGAAGCCGTAGCGATGATGGTACTTGATTCTCCGCGACCCACTGCCCGTGTCTCACTGTGTCTGCCGCTCGGCCTCCCCCACCGTGGCTCCGGCACTGCCAGCTGGGAGGATCCCTCCCATCCCGCCCCCACGCCGTCCCCCCTGGTGCCTGAGAGGAGGGGGTGTTCTCAGCCCTGCGGGCACCCCGGGGGGGAGCCTCGGGTGGTCTGAGGGGCACCTTCCCCGTTGGCCCTGGAAGAAGCTCTGCCTTGTGGAAGGAACCCAGGCAGCGTGCTAGTGTCCGTGGGGACGGGTGCCAAGGGGGCCCCCTTCCGGCTGGGGCTGCCGCCGAGGTCAGTGCCAGGGGCCCAGAGCCGTGCCCTGTGCCGGCCAGTAAGAGGCCTGGGACCAGTCTGGGCCTGGGACCTGGAGGTGAGCAGAGGGGACGTGGGACTCAGTTTACCTGAGTTGCTGACAGCTGGTCTTCCGACCGGGTGGGGGGTGGTTCCTGCTCCAGGAGGAGGTGGCTGAGGTGGGCGGGAGGGGCGCGCAGACCGCCTCCAGCGTGTGCTGTCCCGGGACGTGGGGCCCCCCAGGACCCCCTCCCCGCTCCTGTAGCTCGCCACTTGGCTTGTGACCCTCACGTTCAGCTACTGAGCCCAGCCCCAGCGTGTGGGGTTTGGGGGTGGTCCTAGGGTGATTGGGTCTGAGGAGGGAGCCCCACGGGGGGGGGGGGGGGGGCTCTTCCTGCCGAGCGGGGTGGTGGCTTTCCAGACACCAGTCATCTGCTCCTCTTGGCTTCCCACCAACAGGACAGAAATAAAGGTTTAAGCCACCGGTTTGCGGTTTCTGTGCAGGGACCTGGACAAAGAAGCCACACGACTTCCCTGTCTGGGCTTCACAGACGTGAGAGTGTGTGCACGCGTGTGTGCGGGTGTGGGCCTCTGTGCCTTAGATGCTGGCAGTGTGTGTGTGTGCCTGGGCCTCTGTGCCTTAGATGCTGCTGGCAGTGCATGTGTGCGTGCGCGTGCGCACTGGCCCCGTCTCCAGAAGTGCCTGGTCTGTCCCATCCCGGCGCTCGCTGTGAGTGTGGGTGTGCGTTGTGCTGGACAGTGACGTGGGTGGGAGCCTCTGGCTGGCCGCCCGGGGCAGTGGGAAGGGGTGCCGGCCGAGGCTGTCTCGGTGGCGGTTGGTCCCTCTGGTCGGTGTGAGCCAGCACTGGAGGAGGTCACAGTCCTGGTGCCCCCGTGGCCGCCACGGCACAGGCAGAGCCCCCTGGAGGGCATCCCTCTTCCTTTAATCCTCATCGAGGACATTTTTAGGGGGAACATCCACATGCACCCCGACTGGGGTATACACCCTTGACCAGAATTAAGCCCACCATCCTTAGGTTCGCAGGCCAATGCTCTGACCACTGACTTAACCGGCCAGGGCTGCCACGCGCTTCTGTCACGGTAACTGCTGTTGCCTATCCCTGTGTTTCATCTGAACCGGCGCCCCATCTGTCAGGGAGCCCTCCCTGTGGCTGGGCGGGCGGGTGTCTCTCAGAACCTGGGGGAGGGCCGCAGTCCTGCCCGCTGGGTGCCCCGCGCTGATCAGCCGGACGCGGAAGGAGCGCATCTGTCTGCCCCGGCCACGAGGGGTCTCGCTTTTCCACGTGCGTTTTGGAATCGGCTTCTGGATTTCAGACAGGATGGCCTTGACCTCGGGCTGGTACTGGCATCCTAGCAACGCTGGGCTCCGGCCGTGGGCGCTGCTCGGGCCCCCTCTGCCCTCCCCGGGCTCACTCCTGAGGACCAGGCACCTCATGCTGCTGTGAACAGGCTTCTGGTTCGTTGTTTGAATAGTTTCTGTCCCCAGTTCACTCGTGTCTCCTGCCCACACGGCAGCCGACCTCCTGGTGCCCAGGCCCCCCTGCCCTGGCCCGCGGCTGCCCATCTTCTTCCAGAGGCAGCGCCTCGAGTGCGGGGCAGCAGGGCACAGGGTGCTGGGCTGGCAGGCCTGGGCGGGACTGGGCTTCACTCATCGCTCGGAAGGAAGGGCAGCCCCGGAGCCCGGGCACCAGCCATGTCCCCCTGGGGCCAGCAGGCCGGGAGCCCCGGAGCAACCTCTGGGGTGGGCCCACGTGGCCACTGCTCACCACGGGCCATGCTGTCCTGGGTGACGCCGCTCAGCTCGGGGCCCCCTTCCTCCTGGGCGCCAGCTGGGCCAGCCGCTGCTCGCGGGCCTGTGCGTGCTGGGCCCCCGCCTGCCGGGCCGCCGCCGTGGCCGCCGGGTCGATCTGCGCGTAGCCCGAGGAGCCGGCCCCTGGAAGCGGCCCGGTGAGCCGGCCCAGGTCCAGAAGCCGCTCCGCGCAGGGGCCTCGGCGGGATGGGGGTGGGGCTGGGGTCCCACGGCCCTCCCCCCAGCAGGACCTGAGCGGGGAGGGTCGGGGTGGGAGCCCCGCCCACAGGAGGGCCCAGTGCTGGGTTAGGCCCCACCCCGTGGCCCATGGCGACCCACCTCGCACATCTGCACCCGCCTCGGGGAGCTCCAGGCCCAGGTAGTGCAGCTGCTTGGAGGGGGGGCTGGCGGGGACGTTCACGTAGGTGGGCGCCGTGCCTCCTGCAGGGACGGGCTGTGAGTCCCGGGCTGAGAGCTAAGGCACCCCCCAAGAGCTCCCAGCAGCCCCCCAACTCCTCCAGGGCCATGTCCCTCCCTGACCTCCCGCCCCTTCACCCCAGGCTTCAGAGAGGGGGGCCCACCCCCCAGTGCTCACTGCAGCCCAGTGACCACACCCTCTGTCTTTGGCCCCTGCCCACCCTCTACCCTAACCCCTAAACCACCCCTCCCGGCCACTCCCTCCCCAGGTCCCCACACCCCGCTCCTGCCACTCAGACACCCTACTTGGTCCAGGCCCTGGGCTGTCTGGATGACCGCCTATTCCAGGTCAGGGGCCCTCCCGAGCCCACGTGTCCACCCACAGTGAACCTCAGGCACTCCGTGTCCCTCCACCGTCCAAGACCCGCTCTCTGGGCTCAGGACCCCAAGTGGCAGGCTGCCTGCCTGGGGTGGGACTGACCACGCCCGGGCCCAGGCGACCCTCCCAGCAGCCCCGCGTCCTGCCTCAGCTCCATGGCAGCGCCGCCCTCTCCGCTGCCGGTCTCCTGGCTGGGCTGCCCCTGCGGCCACTGTGACCACCCCTCCAGTCCCGCATGCCAGCTGGGCTGGGGCTGACCTACCTGGGCGTGTCAGGGGCGCAGGGGGTGAGGCGGCGGCTCCCTAGACCAGAGAGAGCTGGGTCAGCTGTGTTGGGAGCTGGCCCCAAGGGCGCCGCGGGAGGGACCAGGCGCCCCCGGGAAACCAGCCTGGGCCCCTCAGTGTGCCCCCGGACTCGCCTGTCTCTGCCCCACACCCACAGGCCCGTGGGGAGAGGATGTGCCAGGCCACCTGCCCCGCTGAGCTGGACGTGGCTTTCTGGCTGCAGCCACTGGCTCCCGGGGACGAGGCTGGCATGCTGGCCTGGTCGGCCGGGACTCTCCTGGCATGGACAGAGCCAGAGAGGAAGAGGCGCCGGTGGCTGCAGCCAGGGGACTCTGACCGGGAGGAGGGGGCCCCTGGCTGGCACAGCCACCGCCCGGGGCCTCGTCTCCCGGTCCCCGTAGGAGTTGGCCCGGGAGGGGCAGGGCAGGGGCCGGACAGTGCCAGAAGAGGGCAGCCCAGCAGCGGGGTGTTGAGGTGGGGCTGGGAGATGGCGGGGTGCCTGGCCTGCTCTGGGAAGGCGAGGGGCTGCCGGGCTCAGCACACACCCTTCCCCCCACCCGCCACTCCCCGGTCCGGGCCAGGCTGCGCGCCCTGCTGACCTCCCACACCCGGGGCAAGCCCATGCCCTCCAGGAGGCTAGTCCTGCAGGTACCCATCAAACCCTGTGCGCGGGGGGCGGATGGGGGGCCGGGGGGGAGGCACTGCAGGTGCTGGGGCCGCAGGGCAGGCACAGGCAGAATCAAGGGACAGGGCTCAGGGCTCCTGAGGTGCCCCAGCCCTGCCGCTGGCAGGAAGCCCCACGCACCCACCACCCTGGGGTGGAGGAGGCAGCAGGTGCTCACAGGAGGGAGGGAGGGCCCAAGAGGCTATGCTGGAGGCCCCACCCACCTGGGTCATCCTGGGACCCAGGGGGAGCCCGAGGCACGAGATGCCTGGCCCCAAAGGCCACAGCCACAGGGTCAGAGGCCATGCCCGTGAAGGTGAGGATGTGATGGTGAGGGTTAGGACTAGGACCAGGGTTAGGATTGCACCTGATTTAGGGTTAGGGCTATGATTATGTTAAGATTGAAACTGTTAGGGTTGGGTTTAAGGTTAGGATGTTTTATGGTTAGTGTTAGCATCAGGGGTAGAGCTAGCATTCGGGTTGGAGCTGTTTTAGGGTTAGTTTAGGGCTAAGGTTAGGGTTAGGATTGATCCTGTGTTAGGTTTGTTAGGGTTAGGGTGAACGTGAGGGTGAGGGGTTCATGTAGGCTTATGGTGTTAGAGCTAAGGTTACAGTGAGGGAAGGGTGAGGGCTAAGTTTAGGGTTAGGATTAGAGTGAGCATTAGGGTTAGGGCAAAGAAGGCAACTCACTCAACCTCTGGGGCCTCAATCTGCTCTGGTCAGAGCAACACTGGCCCTGACTGCGGACAAGAGACTCGGGGACAGAGGCCCGTGGGGCTTTGGCAGGACTGAGCCCAGCCCTGGGGTCTCGCCCGGTGGATGTGCAAGCGGTGTGCGGGGGTCCCTTTGGGCGGAGGTGACGATGGCCACGTTTGTAACGATAAGCCCGCCAACACGCCTCTAAGACTCCATGTTGTTCCCGTGCACCCTCTCCCTGTGCCCGGAGCCAGGCCTGCGGGCCCTTCTGTGCAGGAGGAGACTGAGGCTCAGCCAGGTGGAGTGACTTCCGGGCCCCTGGCCAATAGGAGGGCCTCGCTCTCCCCAAAGCCCGCCTTTCCCACCGGCAGTGCTGCAGGGCCCACCCCCAAGTGTAAATGGGGGTGAAAGGGGTGACAGGACAGGACATGGGGCAGAGACCGTGGTGGGTCCCTGCAGCTCACCACCCACGTGGACAGCCGGGGGTGAGGGCAGCGGGCTCCGAGCCAGCACCCTCCCTGGCCCAGAACACGCATGTCCACCTCCCCTGGACCCGGCAGCCACCTGTCTGTGCCCCAGGGGCCTCTGCGGACCTCACTGTGGTCTCCAGTGAACATTCAGAGACCACATGTGCACAGGCATCATACAGCCCACACATGCACACACCAATCGTGCACAGGCATGCCAAAACAACATGCACACATGCTGCATGCACACGGACACGTCACATGTGCACACAGATGGGCATACATATATGTAGGTGCACATACAGCTGCATAACATACACATGTGCACACATAAACGTACAACAATGCACGCGTGCACACACGAGCCCCAGAGGCTGTCGGAAGCAGTGCGTTGAGGCCTAAAGCGGCCAGACAGGCGCTCCGACCCCTGGGTCCCTGCGGGGCGGGTGGCGGGAGCGCTGGCCAAACAGAACAGGACGAGGCAGTAGGAAAAGAAGGTTTTATTTCCGGTCTAAGAACTCGTTACAAACTGTCAGGCTTTAAAAATGTCAGAGCAACAATGTCTTCCGCGACACTGACGTGAGAAGCGGCAGGGCCGGGATGCCGGCGGAGAGGCCGGAGGGACCAAGCGCCCGAGCCCAGGATCGCGGGCCCGGCTGGCCGCTCGGTGCCTCAGAAACGGAGCGAACGCACAGCCCAGGCAGACAGGCTCCATGCAGCAGCGGAGCGGCCGCGAGGGCCCCCGCAGGCCCGGCCCTCCGGGCAGAGGGACAGGCCGTCCGGGCAGAGGGACAGGCCCTGCCCGCCGGGCCGTCCAGTCCCGTCCGGGACGCTGTTGGGGTGGGAGAGCCCAGGGCGGTCCCACAGTCCCTGCGCCTCCTGAGCCTCAGTTTCCTCCGCACCGGACAGGCCGCTGGGGGTGTGGGTGTGGGGGTGGGTCCGGGTCCGAGGAGCAGCGGGACAAGGGAAGGCTCGCCCTGCACTGGGCGCACAGCAAGGCTGTCTCGGGCTCGCGTCCCGGGGCCGGACGCGTGACGAGCTGCCACGGAGGGACCTGACCGCGGCGGTGCCAGCGCGACGGGGAGGGACCCGGCCGAGCTGGGTGGGGGTGGGGGGGTTACGGCTGTCGGGGCAGCAGCGGGCGGGCGGGAGGTGCCTCTGGGCCCGGCAGGGCCAGGCCCCGCCCCGCCCCGCAGGCCCCGCCCCGCCCGACAGGCCCCACCCCTCGCCCACAGGTCCCGCCCCGCCGGCCCCGCCCCGCCCCTCGCCCCGCGGGCCAGAGGCACGTCCAGCAGCGCCAGGCGGGCCGCCCGGTCCTGCGGGTCCCCGCGGTGCCGGCGCCCCCGCCCGCCCCCGGGGCGGCGCCCGCCTCAGGGAGGGGGCTTCACCTTGAGTCCTCCGCAGGCGGCGCACGGGGCGAAGACAGCCGGCGGGGGCCCCGCGCGCGGGCCGCCCGCCTCCCAGGGCTCTCGGGGGGCCGGGCTGGGCGGGGGGCCGCCCGGGGCGCGGGGCGCGGGGCGCAGGCTGCGGGGCGTGTCGTAGTGCGGCCGCGGGGCGCCCGGCACCTGGTACTCGGCGGCGGGCGCGCAGGCGCACAGGCGCGGCTCGGCCCCGGGCGGCAGGCTGAGCTGCGAGCCCAGCTCCTCGCCCGCGCGCCACACGTCCAGGCTGCTGCCCGCGCACGACGAGCAGCTGCCCGAGTAGGAGGAGTGGCTGCCCGTGGCGATGCCGCTGTCCGAGGAGCCCTGGCGGCCCAGCTCCTGCAGCGGCCGCGGCCGCGGGGGCCTGGGCGGCGGCCGGGGCGCGCCCGGCGCGGCCTCCCCGAGCGCGGGGGCCGCCAGCCCCGGCCCCTCCTGCGAGGCGCTGGCGGAGGAGGACGAGGACTGCTCCGGCCACGCGGCCAGCCGGCTGCCGGCGCTGACGTCCGAGTGGCTGGCCTCCGAGGACGAGCTGGACAGGCTGCGGTCGTCCCCTGCGCGGAGGGAGGGGCGCGCGCTGGCAGCGGGACCTCCCCGCCCGCCCCCCAAACCGGCCCGGCCTCCCCTCCGCCCGGGCGCCCAGTGCGGGGCCGGAGGGATGGACGAGGGAAGGGTGGGGAGCCCCGAGGGGACCAGCGGGCGAGGGCCCGCCGCGCGCCCACCTCCGCTGCCCGGGCGGCCGCAGCGGGACAGGAGGCTGAGCCGCTTCTCCAGCTGCAGGGCCTCCAGGGCCTCCTGGGCCACGCGCTCCTCCGCGGCGGCGGCTCCCCCGGCGCCCGCGTCTGCGGCGGAGGAACCACAAGAGGCAGCCGGCCTCCCGCCAGGGCCCCGCAGCGGCCCTGCCCGCCCCGGACCCAAGCCCAGCCCCGCGCCCGGGTTGCGGCCCCCGCGCCAGGCCGCCGCGGTGACCCGGGAGCCGCCGCCGCAGCCCGCACCGCGCCCGCCTGGGCCGCAGGGCAGGGCCGCGCCAGCAGAGGGCGCTGCGGCCACGGCCGGCGAAGGGAGCACCGGGCGGCCCACGCATGCAGCCCGCCCACCGCCTCCAGCCCGGCCCCGCGCCCTCCGGGCCCGGAGCCTCCGGCCGGGCTCCGGCTGACACCGCTGTCCACGCCGCCAGCCCGCAGGGGAGGAGGCCTGGGCCTGGGGGTGGGGGGCGGGGCAGAGGCCGGGCACCCCTCGCGGGGACCACTCCCCACGCACCTGGGAGGAGCGGCCGCAGCCCAGCCGGGCCCTTGCTCGGGGAGATGCCCCGCACGATGCAGTCGAACAGGAAGCTGATCCGCTCCCCCTCGGTGGAGGACAGGAAGAAGACGCCGGCCCCTGCGGGGACAGCCGTCAGCCCGCCCGGCTAGAGGGGGACCCTGAGCAGAGCCCGAAGCGTCCTCTGCCCCCCTTCCCTCCTCCTCCCTCCCCCCGCCGGGATGTCCCAGCTCCACAGCCCCACGTCCTTCAAACGCCCTCGTCCTGGGACCAGCACACCCCCTCCTGCGTGCACCCCCTCCTGCGTGCACCCCCTCCTGCGTGCACCCCCTCCTGCGTGACCCAATGGGTGGGGGGGTCTCCCTGTGGCCACGGAGGAGCTGGCCGAGGTGTCCTGGCTGCACGCGGAGCCCAGCAGCCCCACATCTCCGAGTTCATCTGAGGGGGCGCCCGGGGCAGAGGGGGTGCCCGGGGCGGGGGGGCGCCTGGGGCAGGGCACCGGGGGCAGAGGGGGCGCCGGGGGCAGAGGGGGTGCCTGGGGCAGGGGGGCGCCTGGGGCAGGGGGGCGCCTGGGGCAGGGGGGGCGCCTGGTGCAGAGGGGGCTCCTGGGGCAGAGGGGGTGCCCGGGGCAGGGGGGCTGGGCTCTGTTGTGGAGGCGCACGGGGCAGAGGGCAGGCGGGGTGAGCAGCCCAGTGAATGAATCCCTCGCCGGGTGAATGGGATGTCGGTCACGGTCACGGGTGCTGAGCGGTGGCCTCAGCGCTCAGGAATGCCCGCGGCCCAGAGAAAGGTCCCGGCGCCCAGAGCAGCCCTGCCCCTGGCAGTGCCGCTTGCCGCCCGCTGAGGGCCTGGCACGGAGTCAGGGCCCTGGGTCGATGCAGCGCCCCGGCCTGCGACCTGCTGCTGCAGAGACGGGAAGCTGAGGCCCACGGGCCAAGGAGTGGGCGCTGGCCGGGACCCCACAGGGACCCCACGAGGCCCAGCCGCCGCCCCGCCCGCCCATGGCGCCCACCACAGGCCAGGCGTGTAATCCCAGCTCCCGGCAGCTGGCAGCCACAGGGCACAGCCAGTCCCCCGACTATAAAAAACCACATTACGAGGGGAGCCGCGAGCATTCCCCCGCGTCTGCCAGCGTCTGCCAGCGCCCGCTGTGGCCGGCTCCCATGCGGGAGGGGCGCTCCTGGGCGTGGAGCAGCCTGAGGGCGGGGAGGCTGGGCGGCCCGGAGGCCAGGTCCCCCGACCCCACTGGCACAGCACAGCGAGCCGTGGAGCAGGAAGGGAGGACGGGAGGGCTAGGGTTGGGGGGGATGTGCAGAGCCCCTGGCAGGACGGGAATGCTCAGAGGAGGGAGGGTGAGGCCCTCCCGAGGCCCCAGTGGGACAGCCCCTCGGGCGGCCTCTGTGGAGGGAACGGAGCCGTGGCCTCGCTGCTCCCGCCCCGTCCGCCCTGTGCGCCCGCAGCTCCCTCGCACGCAGACGGCCAGCGTGGGGCTGCACGGCCGTTCCCTCACCTGCAGGAGGGGGTCTGCGCAGGCCCAGCGCGAGGACCGGGAATGAGCACTAGGAGGGGGCTCTGCGGGCGGGTGGCTTGTCCCCTGGGGCTGGACGTTCCCTGTGCCACCTCGTACTCCGCACCAGCTCCTGGACACGCCCGGCAACGCGCCGGCTTGTCCTGTGCAGCCAGGACACCTCGGCCAGCTCCTCCGTGGCCACAGGCGGGATGGCCGCCTCTCCCCCAAGCCAGGCCCGCAGGTCGGAGGCGAGAGCAACACCCGCCACAAGTGCCGGCCTCAGAGCCGCCTCCAGCTCTGCGCCTGACCTGTCAGGTTCCTGTCCCCTAGCCGCAGCTCACCAACGACCCCCCATCCTGCTGTCGTCCCATCCCTCCCTCCGTCCCTCCCTTCCTCTGTCCCTCCATCCTTCCGTCCCTCCGTCCCTCCATCCCTCATCCTTCTGTCCCTCCCTCCTTCCATCCCTCTAACCCTCTGTCGGTGGAGGGGGCGGGGCCCAGGCTCAGACGGGCTGGCACTGGGGTGGGGCTCCAGCTGCACCCCCATCCTGGGACCCTCACCTCACCCCTCCTCACACCCGGTTGCCCCTTCGGTGCCTCCCTCAATCAGCACCTTGTTAAAGGGCCAGGAAGCCATAGCCCCTCTCCCACAGCTGCTGGGAACACGCCCCGTCAGGGGGCACAGCTGGCACCACTCAGGCCCTGCCTCCATCTGCACCCAGGCCTGCGGCCACCTCACACAGGTCTGCTGGGCCTGGCCTCCTGGCTCCCCGCGGCCTGGAACCTGAGCCCCGGCCAGGAGCACGGGCCCCGGGCCGGGGAGAGGGGGGGCTCCAGGCCCAGCAGCAGCAGTTGCCACCCAAGGCCACACCCCCCGGAGCCATGCCCACACCCGCCAGCCATGCCAGCCGGACCCCACTCGTCTCGGCAGGGACACTGACACAGCCCCGCGGGCGGCCAGCGTCCCCGAGGCCCAGGTGTGCCGGCCGCGACCAGGCCTCACGCCCCCCACCGGCCTCCGCGCCGCCCCCCGCAGCCCCCCGCCGCCCCCGCCGCCCTCCGGACGGCCCCCGCCGCCCCCCGCCGCCCTCCGGAGGCCCTCCGCCGCCCCCCGCCGCCCTCCACCCGCTCCCGCCGCCCTCCATACCGCCCCCCGCCGCCCTCCGCCGCCCCCCGACGGCCCCCGACGGCCTGGCCTGCCCCTCCCTCCCGGGCGGGCAGCCCTCCCTGCTCCCCAGCCCCGGCGGCTGGGCGCCCCACCCTGTGTGAGCGCTTCCCCGCGTGCGCCGTCTGTTCTCCTTTTCATTCAACCTCAGCTCCCGCACCGCGGCCCCGACACGGCCGTCCGGACCCCAGGCCTCGGTGCCGCCGCAGCGCCCTGCAGGCCCCTCACTCGGCACCGAGGGCGCCGAGACCCTGCCCAGGCCGCCCGCCCGCCCGCCCCAGCCCCAGCCCGGCGGTGTGACCAGGCGGTGTGACGGGCGGTGTGGCGGGGCGGTGTGACAGGGCAGACCGGGGCGGTGTGAAGGGGCAGTGTGACCGGCAGACCAGGCGGTGTGACCGGGCGGTGTGACAGAGCGGTGTGACCGGGCGGTGTAACGGGCGGTGTGACCGGGCGGTGGCGGTGTGACGGGCGGTGTGAAGGGGCGGTGTGACGGGCGGTGGCGGTGTGACGGGCGGTGTGAAGGGGCGGTGTGACGGGCGGTGTGACGGGCGGTGTGACGGGCGGTGTGAAGGGCGGTGTGACGGGCGGTGTGAAGGGGCGGTGTGACGGGCGGTGTGACGGGCGGTGTGACGGGCGGTGTGACGGGCGGTGTGACGGGCGGTGTGACCAGGCGGTGTGACGGGCGGTGTGACGGGCGGTGTGACGGGCGGTGTGAAGGGCGGTGTGACGGGCGGTGTGACCAGGCGGTGTGACGGGCGGTGTAACGGGCGGTGTGACCAGGCGGTGTGACGGGCGGTGTGACGGGCGGTGTGAAGGGGCGGTGTGAAGGGCGGTGTGATGGGCGGTGTGATGGGCGGTGTGACCAGGCAGTGTGATGGGCAGTGTGGCCGGGCGGGGCCGCACTTACAGTAGCCACAGCGGGTCCCGCCTTCCAGGATGAAGCCGTTGGGCACGGCCCCGTAGCGCCGGAGGTCCGACAGCTTCCACTGGCCCGCCACGGCCGGGGGCACGTCCCTGGCCACCACCAGCAGGTCATTGCAGAGGTGCAGGGTGGCAGGGCCGCTCTCCAGCTTGGTGCCCGGCGCCACCGTCACGGGGAACCTGTGCACTGAGCCGGGCAGGGAGTGGGCATCAGCGGGGGCAGGGAGAGGGCGGAGGGCAGCACCAGCCATACGGGTGCCCTCAGCTCCCTGGCCTTCAAGGTGGGCAAGCCTCGGAGCGGCTGCCCTGCCCATTCCTGCCGCCCACAGCCCTCAGGAAGCAGCCCGTCTCACAGACGGGGAAACAGAGGCTCGGGGAATGTTTAGTGCCTGGCGGCAGGGCGCTCAGGACCGCGGGCCCTCCCCTCCGGTTAGGGGTCTCCCTGGTGCCGAGCTCACTCCCCCCCTCGGAGAGGGGTCCCCAGGGAGAGCGACAGCAGCCTGCGCGGCATCCCGAGGGACACCCTCCCACCCCCGCCATGGGCCTCGGGCCGGAGGCCGCCCAGGTGGGCGGGCACTCACCCTCGCCCAGGGCGTGGCGGATGCGGGCGTCCCAGGCGCACATGGCCTCGCGGCTGTCGAAGCCCAGCATGGTGGCCTGCGACAGGCACAGGATGGCCAGCGTGTGGGCCAGGCCCTCGTAGGCCAGGCCGGGCTCCAGGCCGCAGATGTCCTCCAGCGTCAGGCTGCTGCGCTCCCGCAGGCCCTGGGTGCGCTCCGCCCGGTCCCTGTAGGCCAGCATCAGCAGGCAGTCTGCGGGCGGGCGGGCGGGCGGGCGGGGCGTCAGGGCCAGCCAGGCCGCCCCGGGGACCCCGGCCCCGAGCCGGCCACTAGCCATTGCGCCTCCGTGTGCTGGGGTTCAGGATGCTGCTCCAGCGGCGAAGCCGGCAGCTGCCTGGGGCGGGGCCTCCACACGGAGCCACAAATGCGGCTGCACCTCCACCGTGCAGCCCCACCCCCTCCCCGTCTTTGCTTGGGGTGCCCCATTCCCAGGTAAGTGGGCCCCCAATCCTGCAGGAAAGCTCGAGGGGAGCAGAGCAGGGACACTGCCTCTTTGATCCTTGACAGGCAGAGCCAACCCCCCGCCTCTCCCCTGCCTCTCCCCTGCCTCTGCCTGTTTCTGCCCCTGCCCTGCCTGTTTCTGCCCCTCCCCTGCCTGTCTCTGCCTCTCCCCTGCCTGTCTCTGCCCCTGCCCCTTTCTCTGCCCTGCTCCTGCCTGTCTCTGCCCCTCCCCTGCCTGTTTCTGCCCCTGCCCTGCCTGTTTCTGCCCCTCCCCTGCCTGTTTCTGCCCCTGCCCTGCCTGTTTCTGCCCCTGCCCTGCCTGTTTCTGCCCCTCCCCTGCCTGTTTCTGCCCCTCCCCTGCCTGTTTCTGCCCCTCCCCTGCCTGTTTCTGCCCCTCCCCTGCCTGTCTCTGCCCCTCCCCTGCCTCTGCCCCTCCCCTGCCCCAATGAGCAGCGGTGGACCTGAGCGACATGGAGGCCACCGCCCACCCGCAGACTCCATCCCGCCCGCACTCCGCCCGTGGGTGACAGCAGGCGGCTGGGCAGTGCTGGGCCTCACCTCCTGTCTAACACCTGCCCACTGTGCTTAGAATGCTCCCATCAGGGAAATGCAAAAAACAGAGCCCATCGGAGGTTCCAGCATGTTCTCTCCCAGGGAGGCAGCGGCGGCCCGAGGTCAGTGACATGGCGCACGACAGGCGTGTCCCCTGCACATGTCCCCAGCGTGTCGCCTGGCGGGAGGAGTAAGATGGGGGAGCGGTGATCACGGACCAGAGGAGACGGGGAGACTCCTCATGGGCCGGGGGAGCCCAGGGCGGGCAGTGCAGCCCCGCCTCCCGCACCCCCACAGTAGCCCCGCCCCCACGGTCCCCTCAGTGCTGGGAGCCTCTCTATCCATCTGAGAAATGGGCACACCCACCCGGGCGCCGAGGCCCTGACCTGGCCGCCTGCCACACAGGAGCACCCCCCCCGGCATCCCCCCACCCCCCCGGCATCGCCCCCCACCGGCGAGCACGGAGCACACCAGGCCCCTAAACACAGGGAAGGGTGCCACTGACCACGGACCTGCCCAGGCTCCGCCCGCCCCAGCCCTGAGGGAGGGGCTGTCGGAGGACTGGCGCCGGGTGAGAAAGGCAAAGGGCCGCCCTGTCAGGACCCTGCAAGTCCCTCAGGGTCCCCTGGGGCCACTCCCACCTCCGCTGCCCCGCAGCCTCCCGTAGCCTCCCGCCCCCGCAGCCTCCCACCCCCGCAGCCTCCCGTAGCCTCCCGCCCCCACAGCCTCCCGCCCCGCAGCCTCCCACCCCCGCAGCCTCCCACCCCCGCAGCCTCCCGTAGCCTCCCGCCCCCACAGCCTCCCACCCCCACAGCCTCCCACCCCCGCAGCCTCCCGCCCCCACAGCCTCCCGCCCCCACAGCCTCCCACCCCCACAGCCTCCCACCCCCACAGCCTCCCGCCCCGCAGCCTCCCGCCCCCACAGCCTCCCGCCCCGCAGCCTCCCGCCCCCGCAGCCTCCCGTAGCCTCCCACCCCCACAGCCTCCCACCCCCACAGCCTCCCGCCCCGCAGCCTCCCGCCCCGCAGCCTCCCGCCCCGCAGCCTCCCGCCCCACAGCCTCCCGCCCCACAGCCTCCCACCCCCGCAGCCTCCCACCCCCACAGCCTCCCGCCCCCACAGCCTCCCACCCCCACAGCCTCCCACCCCCACAGCCTCCCGCCCCGCAGCCTCCCACCCCCGCAGCCTCCCGCCCCGCAGCCTCCCACCCCCACAGCCTCCCGTAGCCTCCCGCCCCACAGCCTCCCGTAGCCTCCCACCCCCGCAGCCGCCTCCTGCTCAGGGCAGCCAGGGGAACGGGGGTCAGGACTGACGGGACAGAGAAGAAGCAGAGGGAGGGATGGGAGGGACCGGCTCCCAGGGCGGTGCAGCTGGGCTCAGCGTCAGAGAACAGACTTGGGCTTCTGCGTGACGGAAGGAGCCAGCCCAGCAGCCCCACAGGGAACAGCATCGTGCTGGAGGAACAGCCAGTGCAAAGGCTCAGAGGGCTGGGCCTGCGTGAGGGGGAGGGCTTTTATCAGGATGCTACCCAGCGGCGAAGCCGGCAGCTGCCTGGGGGTGGGGCCTCCACTCTGAGCCACAAATGCGGCTGCAGCCGCGGAGCCCAGGGGCTGGCCGGGCCGTGGGGAGAGGGGGTGCGGTGACCGCAGAGGGAGAGAGAGAGGTGCTGGCCGGCCGCCTGGTCTCCACGGCGACAGCTCCGGGGCCTCACTCAGAGGCCCGCCTGGAGCGGAGGAGGGAGGGAAGAGGGAAGGATGCTGGGCCAGGTGAGGTGGGGGCCGGAGCTGGGCGCCTCCTGGACACGTGAGCAGAGGCTATAGGCCGCCGGCGGCGTGCCCCCAGCAGCTGAGAGTAAAAATAACCGGGGAGTCATGAGCACGCAAAGGCCTTTAGGGGCGGGGAGGCCCGAAGCTGCTGGAGACGGAGGGCCACACGCGGACGAGGCTGGCCGGAGCCCGACAGAGGCCGGAGCCGCCGCCCCACTGAGCCCTGAGGTCACGGTGACCTTGAGGTGTGTCCTCAGGGCAGCGGCTCTGAGCCGGGGATCTGCCGATGGTTAGGCTGGGGTGGGAGTGGCGGGGCTCGGGCACCGCTGGCCGGGCTGGTCTGCAGGTCCTCAGTGGCAGCCAGGAGGCACGGTGGGCTGGTCAGGAAGGACCCGGGTTCAGGCTGTGCCCCTGGGCATGGAGGGCATGCGGGCTCACTCAGGCCTGGGGGCACACAGGCTCCGGGCGCCCGGGCCTGGGCAGGAGCCCCCATGTGAGCAGAGCCAGATGGGAGCCGAGGGGCCCCTGCTGCACCCACACTGTCCAGGCTGCTGCCTGGCCAGGACCCACAAAGCATCCCAGGCCAGGAGACCCTCCGCGTCACCCATCACCACCAGCCGGGATTACCCACAGCGCTGACACCCGGGAGGCCCTGGGACGCTCCCTCCCCCTCCCCAGACAGCTGTGCAGGTGCTGCCGGGAGCGGCGGGGGGGGGGGGGGGGGGGGCCCGGCCCCTCACCCAGCAGGTCAGGTTCCCCCTGCCAGGCTGCCTGTGAGGGCGGGGGCTGCTTGGGCACCCACCTCAGCACTGACCCGGGGAGACAGGGCAGCCTGCCGGGGCTGCGGGCTGGGGGGTTGGGGGGCTGTGGGGCTGGGGGGCTGTGGGGCTGGGGGGCTGTGGGGCTGGGGGGCTGTGGAGCTGGGGGGTTGGGAGACAGCGGGGCCGGGGGGCTGGGGGGCTGGGGGGCTGGGAGGCTGTGGGGCTGGGGGGTTGGGGGGCTGAGGGGCTGTGGGGCTGTGGAGCTGGGGGGTTGGGAGACAGCGGGGCCGGGGGGCTGGGGGGCTGGGGGGCTGTGGAGCTGGGGGGTTGGGAGACAGCGGGGCCGGGGGGCTGGGGGGCTGGGGGGCTGGGGGGCTGGGGGGCTGGGGGGCTGGGGGGTTGGGGGGCTGGGGGGCTGAGGGGCTGGGGGGCTGTGGAGCTGGGGGGTTGGGAGACAGCGGGGCTGGGGGGCTGGGGGGTTGGGAGACAGCGGGGCCGGGGGGCTGGGGGACTGTGGGGCTGTGGAGCTGGGAGGCTGGGGGGCTGTGGGGCTGGGGGGTTGGGGGGTTGGGGGGCTGAGGGGCTGTGGGGCTGGGGGGTTGGGGGGTTGGGGGGCTGAGGGGCTGGGGGGCCGGGGGGCTGAGGGGCTGGGGGGCTGTGGGGCTGTGGGGCTGGGGGGTTGGGGGGTTGGGGGGCTGAGGGGCTGGGGGGCCGGGGGGCTGAGGGGCTGGGGGGCTGTGGGGCTGGGGGGTTGGGAGACAGCGGGGCCGGGGGGCTGAGGGGCTGGGGGGCTGTGGGGCTGTGGAGCTGGGGGGCTGGGGGGCTGGGGGGCTGTGGGGCTGTGGAGCTGGGGGGCTGGGGGGCTGGGGGGCTGTGGGGCTGTGGAGCTGGGGGGCTGGGGGGCTGGGGGGCTGTGGGGCTGTGGAGCTGGGGGGTTGGGGGGCTGGGGGGCTGTGGGGCTGTGGAGCTGGGGGGTTGGGAGACAGCGGGGCCGGGGGGTGGGGGGACTGTGGGGCAGCAGGGCCGGGGGCAGGCTCTGCCTATAATAACGCCCGAGGCCCTGCGGTGCCAGACGCAGTCCCTCCTGGAGGCTTCGGGGCTGGACGCAGCCCCCGGGGTACGCACAGGACGAGGCAGAGAGGGACCCTGAGCCGCGTGGCCGGGAGCCACCCAGAGCCTCTGGGAGCCTCATCCCCAGGCTCCGGCCGCACGGGACACCCCTCCCACCATCCTGAGCCTCAGCCTGGAGGAGGGGAGACTGCGGGCCACCAGACGTGGGCCGGGCCCAGAGGGGCCAGGCACGCACCCCTGCCAGACAGAGGCGAGGCCAGGACACGCCGCGAAGCGTTAGGCCCTGTGGGAAGGCCCACCAGGTCTGTACGCTAGGCCTGCCCGCCTCACCTGGCACCCGACCCGGTGCCCTCCGCCCCATGCACCCCGCTGCCTCCCTGAGACATGAGGGCAGGGCGGTCCCCTCCTTCCCAGGCTCCCCTGTGGCCGCACCAGGATCTGGGGCCTCAGCTGTGAAGTCCGGATGGAACCTGCTCCCCGCACCTGAGCCTGGGGAGCTGGTGTTCAGGGCGGGCAGGGAGGGGCCCGATGGGTCGCACCGGCACCGGCACATGGTGGGCCTCGGCCTTGGTCTAAGGCGCCTGCAGTCCTCACCGGGCAGGTGGGCACCACCCAGGGGGCAGACCCGGCCTCGCCAGGCCTGAGTGTCCGCCCGCTTCTGTGCAGCAGCTCCGCCCTCGGGCGCCGGGCGCTCTGCCGCGTGGCTGCTCCATCAGTCTGGCCTCTGGGGGCCCCGTACACTCCCCCGGCCCCCCAGACCCGAGCTCACTCGCAACTGATACTGGCAGGAAGGCACCCTGACTGAAATCACCACCCCCCAACCCAGGGCTGCTCTTTGGGGGACCCCAGGTCAGCACAGGCCCAGCTCACCACAGCTGGCCGGAGCCCTGCACCCGCACAGGCCTGTCCCGCCCTGCCCGCGCCTGGCTGGGCCCTCCCTGCCTGCCAGCCCCGCGCCCTCCCCGGCTCCCCTGGGGCACCAGGCACAGGGCCGGCATGAGAGGCGGGGAGCCCCCCTCCCCCGGGGAGCCAGGCCCGCAGAGAGGAGGCCCAGCGGGGAGTGAGTGAGTCTTGCCTTGGGCTGCATCAGCGAGGCCCCGGAGCAGGCTCAGCAGAGGGCGGAGGAGGGGACCGGAGAGCAGGGCACCACCCCTCCGGGCAGCACAGGCAGCGGGCTCCCGGAGGCTGTGGCCAGTCTTCCCCGTGTCCCTCTCAGCCCGCGCCCCGGCGGCTCCGGGCACCTGTCTCCCCAGCAGCTGCAGCCGCGCCGCTCCCGCCGCCCAACCACCCGCCCAGAGGGTGCCCAGCTTCAGGCTCAGGCGGCGCCTGGGGGGAGCCCTGGGGGGGTGTGCCTGGGGGGGAGCCCTGGGGGGTGCCCCTGCTGGGCCATTCTCTCCTCCAGGAGGGCCGTGCTCCCCCACCCGCACCAGGGGACCATTTTCTCAGAAGCACCTGCTCCTGCCCGCAGCCCGGCCCTGCTCTACCTGGGCAGGTGGGGAGGCGGGAAGGAGGCGGGCAGGCGGGCAGGCCAGGCCACCCATGATGGGCTCCGGCCTCTGCTAGATCCTAATTTTCTGGTCCCGGTGGGCTGGGGAGGGGCAGCCGGCTCCCCCACGCGCACCCCCTCCGCCCCCGCAGGCCCGGAAAGGGGTCCCCGCCGGCCGGGGCCTTGGGGTCCGAGGCGGCGGCTCTGCCGGGCCGGCCGCGGTGGGTCCGGCGTCCGGGAGGCCGAGCCGAGGCCGCGCTCTCCGGTTACAGCCTCACCCGGCGCCGCCGGCTATTTCGGGCATTTCGGGCGAGCTGGCCCCGCTCCGGCCGCCCAGCCAAGGCCGCCGCCCGCTCCCGCGCCCCGCGCCCCGCGCCCCCTGACCCGGCCCGGCCCGGCCGGCCGCCGGCGCTCACCTGCCACGGGCGACGGCTTGCGCAGCACCAGCCACCTAGTCTTCCACTGCGGGGACAGAGGGGTCAGCGGCCGCCGCGCCCGCCCCCCGCCCGCCCGCCGCGCGCCGCACCTTCTTGCCGTCCCGCAGCTTGACCTGGCCCTCCACCAGCGCCGCCTCCGTCATCTTCGGTCATGGTGCCGCCGCCGCCCGCCGCCGCCCGCCCGGGGTCACTTTCAAAACAGCTGGCGGCCGGGGCGGGGCGGGGCGGGCGGCCGGGGCGGGGCTGGGGGCGCTCCCGCTCCCCGCCACGCGGGGCGCTCGGCCTGTCGGAGCCGGTGCCTGAGGCCCCAGGGTGCCGGTGCGCTCCCCTCTGCCCGCGTCCCGGCCTGAAGCTGCCCCCCCCCCCCGCCCTGGCCCCCCGCCCGGCCCCTCCCGCCGCCCAGGACTGTCCCCAAACACCCAGACTGCAGCCCCGCCCTTCAGTCCCCTCTCCTCTCCCTCGGAGGTCGCCCCACTCCCCAGCGGGGTGATGGGGCGCGGGGGGGGGGGGGGGGAGGTGCCCTAGCGCATGGCCTGGGGCACAAACCCCAATTCAGCTGCTGCCAGTGTCTGGTCCCTGCCACCCACAGGGCAGCGAGAGCCACAGGTCTGGCTCACTCTGTCAGCCGAGTGACTGAGCCTGGACCGGGTGGGAGCGTGGCTGGGGGCACCGCCCCTGGGGGTTGGAGGGGGCAGGTCCCTGTGGGCCACCAGCCGGAGCTGAGGCCCTGGGATGTGGTCAGGGCCCAGGTGGAGCAGGGCTGGGGAAGCTCTGGCCCCTGCCCCGCCCTCCTCACCTGCATGGCCTCCAGCAGTCCGCCCGCAGCTGCCCGCCACAGAGGCCCATTCATGCGCCCACACGGCTCAGGCCCCTGCTGGCCCTGGACAGCTGGCACGGGGGTGGTGGCTGGGGACTGTGGCCACCGCCACATCCGCCCCCCAGGCGCCTGCACTTGGTCACCCTGCCGGGAGGGACGTGCCTGCATTCTTGAGGGCTGGCCCCGGCCCAGCTCCCGCCTGCACCTGCTCCCGGAGGGCCGGCCGGGAGATGGGCCTCAGCGGGACAGAGTCCCCCTCCGGGCCGCAGGGCGACTCAGCCCCCGCCCCTCAGCTCCTGCTGCAGCCCGCGGGTCCCCCAGGTCAGTGTGAAGGCCAGCCCTCTGTGCCGCTGTCAGGAGCGGGCTGGGGGTGAAGAGGGGGGTGAGCAGGCCACGAGGGCGGAGCCCCACAGCGGATGAGTGGCCTCTCGGAGACGCCAAGGACACAGCTGGGAGAGCTCCCCGGAGCCGGCCTGGCCGCTGGACTGTGAGAGCTCCAAGCGCAAGCTCTGAGGCCGGCTGGCCGTGAGGACAGACATGAAGAGCACGAGGAAGGAGCTTACAGGCCCGTCTGACACGGAAACACAAAAGTCAAACCCTAAACAGAAACAGAAGCAAATCTGCAAAGAGCTTGTAAAAACGATAAATAGTGTGACCAGCAGCCAGGGCCCTCGCCGCCGATGTGCCAGGACAAGCCGGACGGTTTATTCACAGGCGTCACGGTGGGGGCCTGGGGTGCAGCCCTGGCTCCTCCAGACCGGGGCGGGCGGGGGGGGGGGGGCGAGGGAAGGGTGAGCGGCCGCACCTGTCCAGGGCCGTGTGCGTGTGTGGGGGGGTGGCGTCGGCGGGGGTCTGGGTGCTCAGCCGCTGGAACACAGCACCGCGGACAGGGGCTTCCACCAGGGACACGCGCCCCCCCCCCCGTCCGGGCAGGTCCGGGGGCGATGCCCGCAGGGAGGGAGCCGCTGCCCAGGCCGTCCTTGGCTGCAGATGGTCGCCTTCCCAGGAGGCACTCACACGGGCCCCCGTGTGTCTGCGCCCCCTTCCCTTCCTCACAAGGACACCTGTGCTGGGCCAGGGCCCACCCTGGCCTCATGGGGACTGGTCACTCTGTAAAGGTCCTCTCTCCGGACTCTCCCATTCTGAGGTCCAGACGCCAGCATGGGGGTGTCAGAAGGTGCAGCCTGTAACCCTGAGGTGACCCCAAAGGCAGGGAGCAGGGAAATGATCCTCCATCTCACTCCGCTCCTTCTCGGACGCCTGCGGCTCCCGGAGGCCCCCAAGCCAGGGTGCAGAGGTCACTGACCCGCCGGCGCCAGCTGCCTCCGGGGCCGGCACCAGCCTGGGGCGGCCCGTGGATGATGCCGCTCACGCCGGCTCAGCACGGCTCCTCAGGACCGCAAAGCTGGTGGCCCCAGACCCGTGACTCGGCAGCTGGGAGCCAGCTCCTCCACAGCCCGCCCAGCCCGGGAGGTGTGTGCGGCCTGGGCTGGGCGGCAGAGGTGAGGCGGGCGGGCGGGCGGGCGGGGCGAGCCGGTGCCGGGGGCAGGGCGGGCGAGGGGGAGCAGGTCCGGGGCCTCAGGAGGAATCTGCGGGCCGCTTGGGGGGCCGGATCCGGTCGTTGATCCAGCCCACGTAGTTGGCCACGCGGGTGTAGACGCCGGGCTTGTGGAGGCGCCCGCAGCCGTCGCCCCAGCTGATGATGCCGTACAGGTAGGCCACGCCGTTCTTCTCACAGACCAGGGGGCCGCCCGAGTCGCCCTGTGGCGGAGCTCCTGTCAGAGCCGGGCCAGCCCCCGGCCACGTCCGAGTGGCGTGACCCGGGAAGAGTGACGGCCTCTCTAGGCCTCAGGTTCCCCATCTACGACGCCTCCGGCCTGCACACACAGGGCCTGCCTGGTGAGTGCGCTGCTGGGCTGGCTGATGGAGCCCCGTGAGAGCTCTGGGGAAGAGGCCGGCCTTGGGGTCAGCCTGCCGGCCCTGCCCGGTTGGAGCTGGGCTGCCCCGTTTGTGGTCTCAGGCTCCCGCCTGTGTGAGGAGGGGCTCTGCCCCACTGTGGGGCCCTCTGGGGGGAACGGGGCAGGAGTGAGGAGCATGTGCTGTGGGCCCTGTGGCCGGGTCCCTCCCCCGGGGTGTGCAGGTCTGAGCTGGGCTCACCTGGCAGGCGTCAGCCTTGCAGTCAAAGTAGCCGGCGCACAGCATGTTGGGGCTGATGTCGGCCCCGTACACCTCGGGGCTGCTGCACTTGTGGTCGGCCACCAGGGGCACCAGCACCTCCCGCAGGGAGCTGGAGTAGCCGCTCACGTCTGCGGGCAGGGACACGGTCAGGGCCGGCGAGGCTCCCCAGGCTCCCGCCCCCGGCGGCCCCACGGCCACGCACTCTCGTCCTGGTGGCCCCAGCCCGCGATCTGGCACTTGTGTCCGGCGGGGAAGGGGCTGCTGGGCTCCGGCAGGCAGATGGGCTGGACAAACTGGGAGCGGACCGCACAGCGGTCTCCCTTCTTCCTCAGCCGGATCAGCACTGGGCGGGAGAGGCCAGAGGTCACCGGGGTGGGGATCCGTGATGGGCGAGAGGCTGTGCGGGGAGACCCAGGCCCTCCCCACGGTCCCTCTGCCCACCCTCCTTGGGTCACAGATCTGAGGGTCTCCCAGGATTCTCCGGGTGCCCACAGCCCCTCTCCTGGCGGCACCCGCATGCCTGAGCCTCACCAAGGTCATGGTCGCTGGGGTTGAACACCGAGTACAGCGGGTACGGGATGTACTTCTCAATTTGGAATGCCTGGGTCACGTCCGTCGTGAGGTTGAAGAAGTGCTGGCCCAGGACCACAGAGACGCTCTCCCTTGGGGGGCTGTGGGGGGGGGGGCAGGGCTCTGGCCTCCCCTCTGGGCCCGAGGTTGGCTCTCCCTGCACCCATGGGGGCCAGCGTCCCAGAGACAGCCCCTCGGCCAGCCCCGCCCTGTCCGCGCCTCCGCTTTCCCATCTGCTGGGCCTGAGGGTCCCTCGCTCTGCTCAGCCCTCCTGCCGCCGTGGGACCCGGGCACGCAGCCCTCCCAGGCCCCAGGCCTTCTGGGAAATGGCTCCCATGCCCAGTGCAGTTTGGGGCTCGGTGCCCCGGCCCCGCAGGCAGCGCTCCGGGTTCCTGGGTTTCGCTGAGGATGGGCGGCCAGTGAGCTCAGGGGGGGACCCAGGCCTTGAGGGGGGAATCCCCGCTGAGCCTGTGTCCTCTAAGGGTCCAAGCCTTCCTGCAAGCCCATCTGGGGGTCCAAGAGCCTGAGCCACGCCCTCAGCCTCCTGCCTTCTGTCCGTCCCAGACTTGTGGCCAGCGCGCTGGGGTCCCAGGTACCCCACCAAGCCTGTCCCTCCCGGCTCCTCCGGGAAAGTGGGCGTGGTGCCTGCTCCCCGCCCCCAGCCCCTGAACCCCTCAATGCCTTCCTGGCGAGGCTCAGGGGGCCCATTTCCCGGCCAGCCGAGCGCCTGCCGAGGTGACAGGTCCGCACAGGGCTTGTGCCCACTCAGCACCCCTCCCCCCCACGCTGCGGTCCCTGGGGTGACCACGGGCTGCACCGCCAGCTCCTGGCTCCTGAGCTGCACTGTCAGACTCTGGGCCAGGCAGCCCAGGGAGGAGCTTGCGGGCCCCCCTGGGAGCCAGGGGCGTCCTGCGCCCCAAGCTACTGGCAGTCCAGGGGCGGGGCTGGCCGGGCTGCGGGAGCAGGCCCCGCCCACCGCCCCACTGCGCATGCCTCACCCCCACCCGCCCACACCCCGCACCCCGAGGCGCCCTCCCTCCGAGCCCGACAGCCGAGCCGCGGACAGCGCCCGGGTCTCTGCAGCCTCCGGTCCGCACCGCTGGGCGCCCGGTCCGCCGGAGGCAGAGGACGGCGCGGCCCGGGAGCGGAGGCACCGAAGGATGGAGGTGGACAGGCGGCCGGGAGGGAGGACGGGGTGGGGGGGTGGGAGCTGGGTGGGAGGATGGGAGTGGGGTGGAGAGCTGGGTGGGAGGATGGGGTGGGAGATGTGGTGGGGTGGGGGTGGGGGTGGGATGGAGAGCTGCAGAGGTGGGTGAGAGGATGGGGTGGGGGGGTTGGGGGAGAGCTGGGTGGGAGGATGTGGTGGGAGGACGGGGGTGGGGTGGGGTGGGGGGGTGAGAGGATGGGGTGGGGTGCAGAGCTGGGTGGGAGGACGGGTGGGGGGGTGGAGAGCCGCAGAGGTGGGTGAGAGGATGGGGTGGGGGGGTGGGGGAGAGCTGGGTGGGAGGATGTGGTGGGAGGAGGGAGTGGGGTGGGGTGGGGGTGGGGTGGAGAGCTGAATGGGAGGATGGTGTGGGAGGACGGGGTGGGGTGGGGTGGGATGGGGCTGGGGTGGGAGCTGGGTGGGAGGATGGGGTGGGAGGACGGGGTGGGGTGGGGTGGGATGGGGCTGGGGTGGGAGCTGGGTGGGAGGATGAGGTGGGAGGACGGGGTGGGGTGGGGTAGGATGGGGCTGGGGTGGGAGCTGGGTGGGAGGATGGGGCTGGAGGACGGGGTGGGAGGACGGGGGGGTGGGGTGGGGGGTGGAGAGCCGCAGAGGTGGGGCTGGAGGACGGGGTGGGAGGACGGGGTGGGGTGGGGGGTGGAGAGCCGCAGAGGTGGGGCTGGAGGAGGGGGCTGCATGGGGAGGCAGGGGCGGGCGGGCGGGGGCGGACCGGGCAGCCCACCTGTGGGAGAAGCAGTGGGCGGCTGACACCACCCAGCAGGTGTGCACCAGGCTGCCCGCGCAGAAGCTGTCCCCGATGTAGATGGCGGCCAGCCAGGGGTGCGAGCCGGGCAGCGAGGACGAGCCGCCGATGATGCGGGGCCGGAGGGAGCTCCTCTTCCGGTGCCGCCGGCCGCACGTGGGGCGCGCGGCGGGGGCCGGGGCCGGGGCCGCGCCGGGCAGCGCCAGCAGCGCCAGGTCCGGTGGGCGCTGGGTTCTGGTGAGGGATTCTGGGGGCACAGCTCGCTGGTCACACGTGCCCAGGCTGCCCCCCTGCCTCCGCCAGGCCCCTGGGCGTTCACCGCCCTCCCGTCCTGGCGGCCCCTCTGGGCGAGGGCCCGGGGCTGCCCGGCTCCGCCCCGGGACTCACGCTCTGAGCCTCGTTTCCTGGGCTGCAGGAGCCCCGAACCCAGGCTTTGGGGGAACCAGAGTGGCCGTGCACCTGGCAGGTGTTAGGGACCCCCGAGGCGAGGCCAGAGGGGGAGCCGCCACGGCGCCTGCTGGACCTCCCGCCCTGCGTGGTTTGGGTGCGAGAGCAGCCCAGGGACCTGGGGATGGCCTGCCTGCTGACTCCTGGCCCAGCCCTGCCCGGGATCCATTTCCCCATCTCTCAGGGGCAGCGGCCTCAGACAGAGGAGGCGGGGGGTGGGGTGAGAGTGGAAGTGCGGGTGGGGGTGGGGGTGGGAATCGGGGTGGGGGTGGGAGTGAGGGTGGGAGAGGGAGTGAGGGTGAGGATGGGAGTGGGGATGGGGGTGGGAATGGGATGGGGCGGGCGTGGGGGTGGGAATGTGAGTGGGGGTGGGCTTGGGGGTGGGATGGGCCGCGCACCGCAGGCCGCCAGGCGGCAGTACTCCCAGGAGAGGGTGTGCTCCTTCACCACGTAGCACCAGGGCCTCTCGTCCTTGTCGGGGTTCCTGGGGCAGCGGAGGCGGTGGGTGCGGTCACACTGCCCTCAGTGAGGGACGCGGGATAGGGGCATGGGGTCCTTGCAGGGGGTCCCTTCCCCCCGCCCAGCACAGTGGCCTGGGGCTGGGGCCTGGCCGCCCGCCTGGGAGAGCCCAGCAGGAAGGCCCCCGGCGGGGACCCGCCCGGGGAGCAGCTGGGCGGGCCGTGCTGACCGGCAGTAGGCGTGGGGGCCCAGGCCGAGCAGGGCCGCGGCGTCCACCGTGTCCACGTGCAGCTCCTGGTAGAGCAGGTCCGAGTTCCAGGCCAGGCAGCTGAGGCCCGAGGCCGCTGTGCTGGCCACGCCCCGGTACTCCGTGCCGTTGCCCACGAAGCAGCTCTGGGCGGGCGCTGTGGGCGGCGGCGGGTGAGCCCGGCCCGAGGCTGCCCCCCCGCCCGGCCGGGGGGGGGGGGCCCGGCGGAGGCCGGCCACTCACCGATGTTGCAGAGCCTCCCGGCGTGGCCCGGGGCGCAGGCGCAGACGGTGGTCCCGGTGGCCACAACCAGGTGGCAGGTGCCCCCGTTCAGGCACGGGCTGCTCAGGCAAGCTGGGGGGGCGCAGAAGCTAGGCTCGGCCGGAGCCGGGTCCCGCTGAGGCCCCACCCGGGCCTGGGACGCCCAGCGCACCTGCGTGGGGCGTGTCCTCGCAGCGGATGCGGCCGCCCACGCACTGGCACTGCTCCACGCGGCCCTGGAGCACCCGGGCCCAGCTGTCGCCCTCCTCCAGGTACTCATGGCGAGTCTCGTCGAAGCACTTCTCTGGGGACCACACCACGTGTCCCGCTGTGCACCCGCGGCCCGTGCAGCCCTCCTCCCAGCACCCGCCAGGCCGGCTCACCCGTCCCACAGTCCTTGCCGGTGAAGGCCATGGGGCAGGTGCAGTGGTGGGAGCCGGGGTCCTGGGTGCTGGTGCAGGAGCCCCCGTTGAGGCAGGGGCTGGAGGCACAGGGATCCAGAGCTGCTGGAGACACGCAGAAGGGTGGGTGGGGGTCTCAGGTGGACCAGTCTGTCCCCCCACTCCGACCCTCGCTGCTTGCCTCTGTTGGGCCTGCTACCTTAAAGATGCCCCTTCTGGGGTCCCGGGAGGGGGTCCTGGGGGGAATGCAGGCCGCCTACAGCCCCACTCGGCACTCAGGGCCTCTCGGGAGCCTGACCACCCGTCAGGCAGCACAGTCCCCTCCCTGGTGACCTGGGACCACCACCGACAGGGCTGCCAGCACCTGCACACCCACTGGCCCTCACCCGGCAGGGCTGGCCTGGGTGGCCGCAGGGCCTGGCCTGGCCACCAGGGGGTGTCTTGCTCCCAGCAATGGACAAAGCAACCCTGTGGCTCCCCTGTCCCTGTCCCCTGGGCTCCCAGCCCCTTCAGCATGTTGACCGGATGCCCAAGCTCAGCCCACACAGGCCCCGTCCCTCCGGGCCTGGGCACCCACCTGGGCGCTCCGGGGGCGCGGAGCCCTGCACGCAGTAGCCCCAGGCCCGGTCGCGGTCGTAGTTGTGAGTCGTGGCACACCTGGGGGTGACGTGCGTGGTGACGTGGATGCCTCTCCAGCCCCGAGGTTGTGATCTCTGCGCTGCACGCACGCACTCACGCCCGTTCAGCCGTGCGTCCATCCACCACACCTGTCACCGTCTGAGAGGAGGGGGGGGAGGGGCCGTGGGACCGGGATGCAGGGGAGGAGGGCGCTTGCCCCGCGGGACCCACCACTTCCTGTAGGCGCTTCCCTCCGACGTGCAGGAATGGAGCAGGCGGCCGCCCAGGCGGAAGGGGAACCGGCAGGGCTGTCCGTCCTCGGTGAGCACTGTGTGGAGGCAGCAGCGTCACGGGCTCCCGCCCCCCCCCGCCCCCCACCGTCCAGGTGCAGCCCCCACCTCCTCCGGAAAGCCCCCTGACCGACCTGGGCCCGCCGGGCTGCTGCTGGAGGGGGCCGCCCTGGGTGCGGAGGTGAGCCCCCCCCCACGGGGACCCTCTGCCTCTGGAGTGCTCGTGGGTGAGGCCGTGGGGGTCACTGAGGTCACGGGAACAGGGGGTGTCCTGGAGGTCACTGTGGCGTTAGGTTCTCGGGGCTCCGTGTGGTTCTAGGAGGAGCGAGAGCTGCGACAGCATCCGTGTGGGACTGGCCCGGCCCCACGTCCTTGGGTCCTCAGACCTCGGAGGGGGGACCTGTGACTGGACACCCTGAGGGTCCAACAAGCCCTCCCCCGAGCCCAGCAGGCCCGCCGAGCCCGAGCTGGCTCAGGGCCGGCCCGCCTGCTTGATCCTGGGCCCAGCGCTGCCAGGAAGCCCTCAGAAGCCCCTCCCCCTCTCAAACTCAGACCCCACAGGCCCCCATGCCCCGAGGTGGGGGCCCAGGAAACTAGATGCCCAGGTTCTGCCCTGCCCACCAGCCCCGCACGCCCACCGCACCCCCACGGCAGCTTTCAGCACCCGGGCCCCTCGCCCGCTCCCCCGGCCCTGGCTGGGCCTTGGGACCCAGAGTGGGCACAGGGAGCCCCAGGTCACAGCGCGACAGGGCGGTGCTCACCCTGCCGGCCTGGGGCTGGGCCCTGAGAGGTGCCAGCAGCAGCAGCAGCAGCAGCAGCGACAGTCGGGGCGGGGGGCAGAGGCTGGGGACCCAGGCCCGGCGCCCCATGGCTCCTCCCGCTGGTGTGAGGGCAGCAGGAGTAGGAGCAGAGTGGCCGGGGCCAGTGGGGTCAAGGCCGCCTGGAAATGATTAACCGGCTGCCGTCCCTGCCGGCCCACAGGCCCCGCTCCTGCTGCCCGCTCACCCGCCAGAACCACAGGCCGGCCTCCCCTCCGCGCTCTGCCACAGGGTCCCGGACAGGACAGTGTCCGGGGTCTCCCAGGATGGCGTGCAGGCGGGGCCTGGGCCCCCAGCCCGGCTTCCGGTTCCCGCGTGGCCTCAGAGCTGGCCACGGAGTGTCTGGGCAGCCTGTAACCAGAGCAGCTGCCTGTCTGCTCTTTCCTGCCCGGCCTGCAGGGGGTGCTGCCCACGCCCGGCACCAGGCCAGGTGGAATGAAGGCTAGGGGCGCTGGGCTGGAAAGGCAGAGACCCAGGATGGGGACCTCTGCTGCCCCTCCAGGAGCCTGGGGTGGGCCCCCGAGAAGTGCAATATGGGGAGCAGGACCAGAGCCCCTCGGGCTGCCTGACTTGGGGTGTCCAGGAGTCCCCCCCCACCTCTGGTCCCTGGCAGAGCCGGGCCAGGGGCCTGGCTTGGGGTCCTGCCCTCTGTGACCTGGGCTGGGCAGTGCCCGCACACAGCAGTTACCCCTCCAGGCCCAGAATGCCGGCGGCCCACACGGGGTGCAGACAGGCTGGCACTGCACCCGCCTCGCTGCGCCCAGGAGAGGGCACTGGGCACGTGGGTGTCACCCGTCTTCATTCCCACACCTCCCCTAGACCCCCTCCTGGAAGCACCCAGAACCCACAGCCTGGCTCTGTTCCCTGGCCTCCGACAAACCCAGTAAGACAAGACCCCCCCCCTTCCCCACCAACGAACGAGGATGGCAGACCGAGGGCGGGGCCCCTCCGCATCGAGCTGTGCACTGCGCTCCAGTGAGGAAACCTGGGACCAGGGTGCCATCTCTGTCTGCTTCAACCCAACGCCACCCGGGGCCCTGCCGCTGACCTGGCCCCCGTCCCCTCCTGACTTGGCTCAAACCTTTCTGTAATCAAGCTTGCTCCAGCCTCGGGCTGGGCACAGCCCTGCCACTCTCACCCAGGCCTTCGGCCCAGGTGGCCCCTCCACAGACAGGCCAAGGGCAGGGCAGCCTGCAGGTCCCCTCTGTGCCCAGAGGAGCCTGCGCTGAGCGGCAGGGGGTGGTGTGGATGGGACGAGACCAGGGCCCGGCCCGCAGGCCTACTTCCTCACGCCCCTCCCACATGGTCCTGGAGGCCATGGCAACGCCTCCAAGGCCGAGGACACGAGGATGGAGGACAGACGGCCAGGGGCCCAGCACCCAGCAGGAGGCCAACACGGGGTCCTCGAAGACACTTTATTGGGGGACGGCTGGAGGCCGCGGCAGGGGCGGGCCCAGGAGCCCCCAAGCCAGCCCTCAGCCTTCCGGGCGGCTTCCAAGGGCGCGGTGGCCGGGGTGGCTGCCAAAGGCCCTCCCGATGGGCTGCGGCCACCCGGGCCTCGGCCTTCAGGTTCATGTCCAGGCGTGCAGCTCGGGGGTCCTCGGGGGGTCCAGGGCACGGGGCCTGCCGGCGGCGGGCTGCGGGCGGCCTCAGACGAAGGTGGCGTGGTGCGGGCTGGCTTTGGGCTTGGCGGGGAGGTCTGGTGCGGGGGGCCTGCTGGCCTGTGGCCTCCGGGGGCCCATCCACACCCCTGGAGCCCTGCAGCCTGGGCCAGGGGCCGAGCCAGCGACCAAGTCCACGTCGATGATCGTGTTGACTGGGAGGCCTCGGCTGCTGTGGGCCCTGCCTCCTGGCACACGGAGAAGAGAGAGGCTGTCACCATCACCCCCAGGCCTGCAGACCCCCGCAGGAGGCCCCACCCACCTGCCCTGGCAACGGGAGGGATTCCTCAAATGCCCAAATGCATCCGCAGGCTGGCCACCTCTGACCTTAGCCTCGGTCGGGGTCAAGGGTCTGCAGACTGCCAGCCTCAAGCTACCAGCCCCTCAGGGCCCCTGCACGTCCATGTGGCAGAGGTCCTGGCAGACGCCACAGTGTGGGGAAGGTCCCAGGCCGAGGGGGACATGGGCATGAGTCGAGCAGGGAAGGCAGAGGCTGGGGCCCCAGTGCTGGGGGTGCAGGGCCCAGGTTCTGTGCCATGGCACCTGGGGAGCCCCTGCTCGTCACAGGAATACCCAGGTCTACCTGTGCCCTGCCCTCATCCAGTCTGTGCCAGGCCAGTCCGGGTCCTTCAAAAGCTGTTCAGCACCTGGGCCCTGCCCCCCTCATCCCGGCCCTCCCGCTGGCGCCACCTGGCCGGCCGAGGATGCTGACCTGCCCTGGAGGTGTGCGGAGCGCGCTGCAGGAATGAGGATTCTGGGCCTCAGGAGGGGCTGGGATGGCAAAGGGACTGCAAGGGGAGAGGATTGGTCCCAGGGCCCCACGAGGCTACAGGGCTGCTCACAGGGATCCAGTGGCTCCCGACTGGGTTGTGGCCAGTGGAGAGCTGTGTGTGTGTGTGTGTGTGTGTGTGTGTCAGGTGGGGGCAGGATGACTGTCAGCACGAGAGACTCCCTGCCGCCCTGGGCTCAGGGACAGAGCCGGCCCTGCTGAGACCCGCCCCATCTTCCCTGACCCCCAACTCTCCTGGGGCTGTCCTTCGGCCAAGGGGGTTGGGGCCACAGTAAGTGGGTGCCTGGGCTAGGGGGACCCAGCTCTGGGCGAGGCTGTTCCAGACAGGACTGGCCCTCAGCAAGGCCCCAGGCACTCGGGCCCCACACAGACTCACTACCAGCCTCGCTGCAGGACACAGCTCACAGGCCAGCGTGGGGCAGAGGCGGCTCCAGAGCCCTGTGCCTGCCCAGCCTGGCTGCCAGCTGTCTGCCTCAGGCCCACGGCCTCACCTCACAGTCCTTCCTGGCACCTGCCTGGGTTCCAGCTGCGCTCTCCTACCCCTTGGCCACACCTGGGCCTTGTGTTAGGGCTGTGCTGCCAGGTTAGGGATGCCAGGCGGGCTTGGAATCTATAGGCGTCCATAAGCCCAGGGCCGAGGGCTCTCAGGTGCCCACAGCAAGCAGGCGTCTCGGCCCGTGACCCACAATAGACGCAGTCCTGCCCCACGGACCAGCCCTCCCTGGGCCTCCATTTCCCTGGCCTGGCTCCGCTTCCTCTGTGGGATCAGGAGCCTGTGTCCCCAGCTGCTCTGCGGCCCCAAAGTCCCACCCTACTGCACCCCAGGCCTCCATGAGCGCCTCCACGTGGTCCCCAGGGCTTCCCCAGCTCGTCGGTGTCAGAGTGCCCGGCTGCATGGCCGGGTGTGTCCATTTCAGACAGCGGGGAAGGGTTTCCCCTGAGGTCCGAGGGCCCAGTCCTTTGGTCATTCAACCAACACCCCTCCGGCCTGCCCACTGGGATCCGCCGCCCTGGCTGTCACTGGCTCCCATGCTCCACACGGGCTGCAGGGTGGGAGATGGGGGCAGGGTGCTTCCACTTAGCTCCAGGGTGGAGAGGGCAGGGTCTGCCCCAGGTTCTCTGCCCTGTCGAGGGCATTTGGAGAGTAAAGGACCTGCGGGTCCTCTCAGGCCAGCAGCCTGGCCCCTTCCGTCCAGCCCTGATGGGCGTGGGGGACAGAGTCTGCAGGGGCAGCTCGGCCCCGGCCCGGAGCCACAGCTGGGACAGCTCAGCAGGCCTGGGCGGGCGTGTTGTGTCGGGGACGGGGCAGTGGTGCAGGCCGAGGACCAGTATGGTAGGGGGGTGGCCAAGGTCCCAGCTCTTCCTGCCTGCCCGGCCCAGGTTTGCTTTCTGAGTAAGTGGCAGCCCCAGGCCGGTGACTCAGTGGCAGCAGCCCAGCCCCGTGCAGACGGGCGCCGAGGCCTGGTGCCAGGGCCTGCCCAGAGCTGCTGAGCTGTCCCGGGGCTCCAACGGCATTTCCAAAGGGTGCCTGTGCCACGCCTCTACCAGATGTGAGGCTGGGCCTGGACCTCGCCTCCGCCTCACGTCGCCCAGCTGGCCCCTCCCCGCACGGCTCCACAGCCGACATCAGCGGACAAATTCTGTGGTCCCAGCCCGTCAGCCCCTGGGGGCCCCGCTGGAACCCCCAATTGGGGCGCCAGAGCCACCTCAGTTGCTGTCCACGGGCCCTTCCTGCCCCCAAGGGCCCCCTTGTCCTCCTTTGCTGTGGCTTCTGCCCACATGCTCTGACTCGTCTACTAGGTGGGTCCACCCTGCCACCTCCTCCGTGAAGCCTCCGGGTGCCCCTCACTCTCACAGCATAAGGAGACTGGGCACAGCTAAACAGAAATATGGGGAGGGGAAGGGGGGCAGCCCTGGACACCCCACCTCATCCCACCCCACGTTTCCTCAGAGGCAGAGTCCCTGTGAGCAGCCCCAGCCAAAGCCCTGGTTCCGCTCGTGGCACACGCAGCCCCCTCCAGTGGGATCCAGCGGGTGGGATGGCGCTGTGACAGGCGGGGGCGAGGCTAAAGGTCCTCATGCAGCCCCAACTGTGTGGCTCAGTAGATAGAGCGTCGGCCTGCGGACTGAAGGGTCCTAGGTTCAATTCCTGTCAAGGGCATGTACCTTGGTTGTGGGCACATCCCCAGTAGCGAGTGTGTGGGAGGCAGCTGGTCAATGCTTCTCTATCATCAATGTTTCTAACTCTACCCCTCTCCCTTCTCTGTAAAAATAAAAATATATATATATTTTTTTAAAAAGGTCCTCCTACAGCCAGTGCGTGCTGAGCGCCCTCAGATGAGGTCACGTCCAAGGAGAATGGGGACGGAGGCTTTGACGACCGGACCCAAGGGCTGTGCCCAGGGAACAGAGGGCGCCTATCACCAGGTGGGAAGCCTGAGCTGGGAGCCGCACACCGAGTGCCGGGGTGCGCCAAGCTCGGAGCGTGGAGCCGCAGGGGCCAGTGGGAAGTGAGAGCCAGCCCCTACAGGGCAGCTGCGAATCTCGACTCCGGCCCCCAGGAATGGGCGGATCAGGCCTGGCGGCCTCACCTCCCAAGGCGACAGCAGAGGCGGATGCCCGTGAGCCCCGCTGTGCTCAGGGAGAGGCCCGGGCTGCCCGCCCCGCCGCTGGCACAAGTGGGTACTTGCACGGTGCTTGAGAGCATCTGCCAACTGAACAACCTATTTTAAAAGCCACTATATCGCCCTGGCCAGTGTGGTTCAGTGGATAGAGCATTGGCCTGGGGGCTGAGGGGTCCCGGGTTTGATTCCCAGGTTGCAGGCTCGAGCCCCCGTGTGGGGTGTGCAGGAGGCAGCCAATCCATGATTCTTTCTCATCCTTGATGTTTCTATCTCTTTCTCCTCTGAAATCAATAAAAGATATTCACCCACTGGAGTCCCTAAAATGCATGACGCTTTCCTTGGAGTGAAACACATGTTTAGTTTGAAGTGGCAATAAATAGTCAAGGGAGAGAAGTTTTGGTCCAGTCCAGCCATGAGCTGTGGAGTTTATTCCCCCGGGAGAACACGGGCCCAGACAGGGCGACAGGACACAGGCGCACAGGAGCAGGGAGTCGCGGTGCGTGCGGCAGGCGACAGCATGCACCCTGTCCGCGCGGGGTCTGGGGAGGCGCCGCGGCCCCACAGCGCAGGTCCTCCGCCAGCCACCAGGGAAGCAGGGGCAAAGCCCCACTCAGGCGCGGCTGCAGGCCCCGCAGGACCAGGCTGCCCTGGCCGGTGGCACGGGCGCCCCATCGCCTGCCAGCGGATCGGGACCGGCACGTCCGAGAGCCGCGAGTGTGCAGAGGAGCAGGGCAGCCGCTCAGCGTGGACACCGAGCGGGCGCCCTGCCACCCAGCGGGGACACACGGGCCGTGCACAGTGCGGGCGGAGGGCTCTCAGAAGCCCTCACAGCAGGTAAGAGCCTCGCCTCAACTTCCAGCTGCGGCTCCCGGGACAGTTCCCCCCACCCCCCCAGCCTCACGGCACCGAACTCAGTGAACAACCCAGCCCCGCTTCCTTCCGCAGTTTAGGGCAAAGCCTGTGACTGCCCGGCCCAGGCTCTGTGCTGAGCGTGTCCCGTCACCTGGGCGCCACTCACTCCTCAAGACAAAGGCCCTTTTCAGTCTCAGACAAACGCGAACCGCGCTAGCTCTCCCCGTGAGGAACACATGCGTCTCCGGACGCCCCGGACAGGGCGCGGGGTGGGGCCGCTGTCTGCTCACACCACGGCACATGCCGGGAGGCCTCGGGACCCGTCCTGACCACACTCCGACCTCAGCTGGGCCTGACACCTCCGGGCAGACCCGCCCTCAGTAACTACGGTAACAGAGGGGCCGTGCCGTGAAGAGCCTCGTTAGACGGTCATGGGCAGAGGGTGGGCCTCGCACACCTGTCTTTTTTGTTGGGGCCCAGGCGGACACTCCCGGGAACAGCCCGGAAAGCGGAGAGCAGTCAGAGGTGAGCAGGGGAGCCATGCCCGGCGGTACCTGGAGTGGAAGGTCCTGCCGGGTCCTGCGGGGCAGGGGGCGGCGGCAGCAAAGTGCTGTTGGGACTGCTGATGTCCCCCTCCCCGGTGAGCATCAGGTCGGCCACGTGCTCGCCCTCCAGGGTCTGGACGCCCCCGGCCTCCGCTTCCTGCACGTGGGGCGTGGGCGTTGTGGGCGTCGTGGGGGTGCAGAAGGGGGGGCTGTCGGCGGAGCTGGGGCTGGTGGCGGGGCTGGTGGAATGCTCTCGGCTGGGCGCCCAGGGCTCCCGGGGCCGGGGCGCCCTCTCCTGGCCCGGGGGGCCAGGCTCCGGGGTGCCCGGGGGCAAGCGCAGGAACTCGGGCAGCACCAGGTCCTCCTTCCTCAGCAGCCCGCGCTGGTCGTCGGCCCGGTTGCTCTGAGCCTTGGAAATAAGCTCAAAAAACGCTGTTGGGAGGAAACCCGTGGAGCGAGTGTGAGAGCCTCGCCCTCGGCCCACGGCCACAGTGCACGCCAGGAAAGGTCTCGTCTCACCGTCCCACTGCCTTCGGACTGCAGGCTGCGGCCAGGAGGTCCCACACCCCTAGCACTGGGTCCACAGAACTGCAGTGAGGCCCAGGCTTCTAGAACAATCCAAAGCAGCCCTAAGCCTCCCCCATGACCCCCCATGGCCGTGCTGACAGCTCGGGGATGCTGGCTGTGCTCTGGGGGGGCGTGGCGCTGGGGACCTTGACACGCAGCCCTGGCCCCTTCCCACATGAAGGAGTGACCGCAGAGGCTGCGGCACGACAGGGCCAGCGCTGGGCGACCTGCCTGGGCCGGAGGAGGGGCCGGGAGCGGCGGTGTGAAGGGGCCGTGGTGGTGGCCCCAAGCCTGGGCTCGGAGCCCTGGAGCCCCTCCGTGCCCTCCGCACCTGCCGGCCTGGCTCTGGCACGCCCCTCCGGAGCCATCTCACTGGAGGGCTCAAGATCACTGTCAAAGGAGAGGGTGCGGCTGAGCTTCTCTAGCGCCCAGCCGCTCTCAGGCGTGACCCGGGACAAGGGCTTTCAGGCCTGACATCTAGCGCCTCTCAGGAAGGCGCCAGCCTCAGTGTGGGTGTGCGCTCCTGCCCTCTTCCGAGAGCCCACCCTGCAGGCTGTGGCTGCAGGGCTATGGCTGTAAGGGGGTGACGGGTGTAGGGCTGTGGCTGTAAGGGGCGTGAGGGGTGTAGGGTTGTGGCTGTAAGGGGGGTAAAGGGTGTAGGACTATGGCTGTAAGGGGGGTGAGGGGTGTAGGGCTGTGGCTGTAAGGGGGGTGAGGGGTGTAGGGCTGTGGCTGTAAGGGGTGTGAGGGGTGTAGGGCTGTGGCTGTAAGGGGCGTGAGGGGTGTAGGGCTGTGGCTGTAAGGGGGGTAAAGGGTGTAGGACTATGGCTGTAAGGGGGGTGAGGGGTGTAGGGCTGTGGCTGTAAGGGGGGTGAGGGGTGTATGGCTGTGGCTGTAAGGGGTGTGAGGGGTGTAGGGCTGTGGCTGTAAGGGGGGTGAGGGGTGAGAGGTTTGTCTGGGTGAGGGCGGAGAGGAGCTCCTGCAGGCCCCCCCGCGGCTCAGGGCAGAGGTGAGGGACACAAGCCTGCTCGCCTGGCGCCGCCTGCTGTGAGGGCCCTCTGACACTTCCGAACCTCCATCCAGCCTGCCAGGCCCACCGCGCTGCCCCTGCCCCCCGGGGTCCGCCCTGACTCCGAGGGGCCCGGCTCTCAGACTGACAGGGGAACATACTCCATGTGACAGGGCCACAGTCACCCCAGTGTCAATCGCTCAGAGAACACGCTGACGAGAGGACTGGAAACGGACATTGTATTCACTGAAACGCGTCAAGTTTAAAAAGTACACGTACCCTCTGCTTCGTCCAAATTAATTTTCTGATATTTTTTTTTCCCAATCTTTGCAATAGATTCTTCTCTCTTTGAAAGCCGGGGATCCCTAGCATTTTTTCCATTTTCTCCTTTTATTTTAATAGAATTAGACTTGCCTAGTGTTCTCTCCTCTCCCTGCATCAGAAGGAAAGTCAAAGTTCTACTCACAGTTCAGACACGACAGCACAGGTCATGACAGGCGGGGTTGGAAACGGGACCCACCACAGGGCAGCGGGCTGGCGGTTCAGGCCCGGGGGCGGCCCCAGGGGGACGAGAGGGCACAGAGAGGGGCTGCCAGCCCGACCAGAGAGTGGTGGGCACCAGCGGGCAGCACACGGCTCTCTGGGGAGCATGTGACGGCATGCGGGGAGCGGGGCGCGGGCCGGGCGGGGGATTACCGTAGCCGAGAAATTTCTGGAGCTGGAGCTGCCTGCGGCGGGCTGTTTGGGCGGCGTTCCTCTCTGTTTGTCTGGGGGAGGGCGGAGAGGAGTGTTAGCCAGGGCACTGGCCTCGCTTCCCATCTGCGATCGGTGTTCTTAGGCAAAGCGGGGAGACGACGGAGTGACTGTCCCTTCCAATCTGCACATGAAGGCCGAACGCCCGGGGCCGGACCAGGGGCGGGACACCTCCCCGCCTTGGCCAGGGCAGGATGTGCTCTGTGTGTGTGAGAGTGTGTGAGAGTGTGTGTATGTGAGTGTGTGTGTGTCTGTGTGTGAGTGTGTGAGAGTGTGAGTGTGTATGTGAGTGTGTGTGTGTCTGTGTATATGTGTGTGTGAGTGTGTGTGTCTGCGTGTGTGTGTCTGTGTATGTGTGAGTGTGTGAGTGTGAGTGTGTGTGTCTGTGTATGTGTGTGTGAGTCTGTGTATGTGTGAGTGTGTGTGTGTATGTGTGTGTGTATGAGTGTGTGAGTGTGTGTTTGTGTGTGTGTGTCTGTGTGTGTATGTGAGTGTGTGTGTCTGTGTATGTGTGTGTGTCTGCGTGTGTATGTGTGTCTGCGTGTGTGTGAGTGTGTGTCTGTGTCTGTGTGAGTGTGTCTGCGTGTGTGTGTCTGTGTATGTGTATGAGTGTGTGTGTGTGTCTGTGTGTGTGTGTGTGTCTGTGTATGTGTGTGTGTGTGAGGGTGTGTGTGTATGTGTATGTGTGTGTAGAGGGCCACAGGTGACTGGACTCCACGTACTGGGATATTTGGAAGTAAGGCGACTAAAGAGATTGTTCCGTGGACTATTTGGTGTGAATATTCTCTAGAAAAAGTCACATATTTTCAAATACAATCATTGTCCCAAGTCAGGGCTGTGGTCTGGCCTCAATGGCCAACCAAGCCCCAAGTCCACTCCTCCGGCCCCGCTGGGCTGCAGGAAGGGCACGGGGCCTCCCGCAGCTGCTCAGACCCTGCACCTGCCCGCGGCTGCCTGCAGCCCCCTGCGCCCAGGACCTGGCGGAGGAGCAGGGTGCAGGCACCCCAAGACCGGGGCAGGCAGGCCGCTCTGCTTCCACAGGGGAGGAGCCTGGGGGAGGCGGCAGGCACTCGGACCTGAGCCAGCCCGCAGGGCATGTGGTCCTGCCCCGCTGGGCCCTCCCCGGAGGAGCTCCGTAAACACAGGTTCCCGCACCCCCGGGACAACGGGGCTGCACACCCAGTCCACAGGCCCCGGGTGTCCCTCGTTCACAGGCCCAAGCTGTGTCTGTGTCTCGTTAACGCCCCGCACCAGGCGTGCCGACCTCGGGCAGTCCGGGCACACGGCCTGTCGCCGGGTGAGGCCCTCCCGCTCCTGTCCTGTGCCTCTGCCCAGGCCGTGGACAGCCCGGCTCTGCAGGGCGGGACCTCTGGGGGCTCAGGATGGGCTGGTGGGAGGCAGCGAGAGGGGCTCTCAGGTTCGCTCACCTTTCCCTCTGGAGGGGTCCTTCTCCTCCAAGATGACCCGCTGTCCATCCAGGCTCGATATGGGGGCGCCGAGGTCCAGGGGCTCCTTCTCGCCACTCTAAAGACCAAGGTAGTGCACGTGACTCACTGAACCAGAACTTTCCAGAACACCTGTCTGTCGTCCAGCTGCTAACAGCAAGACCGGTCCAGCCTTGACGTACTCGCACGCCAGGTGACCCCGGGTGCCACTACCATGGCTGGGCTGCCCGAAGGCAGTCCTGAGTGCCAGCCCGAAGCCCGGGTGCCTGGACCTCGAGTGACAGCTGGTGGCCTCCCTGTGCCAGACCCAAGCCCAGGTGAGGACACGCGGTGAGGCTGCGAACCTCTCGGCCCGCCAACGTCCCATTTCAAGGCATCGAGTTGGCATCCAGGTCTCACCCTGCTCACAGCCTGGACGGGCCTCGCTCCACTCCTGTGGGCACAGTTAGGGCACGGCAGGACAGAGCTGCCTTTGTGGGCAAGGCGCGGAGCAGGCCGAGGTGGGACACCAGCTTTCAGGACCCACAGCTGCTTTCAGAAAGAAGCCTGCACGTGGAGCCGGCTTCTCAAATCCCTGATGGCCGGAGAACGGAAGTGCCCAAGACCACCGCCTGCAGGAGGCCGGGCAGGAGCTCGCCCCATGAGGCGGCCACCACGCTGGCCCTGCCTCTCATGGTGTCGGTTCCAGTGGACGCACACACTCAGGGAAGGGCAGCTGGTGTGTCATGTGTCATGGCCTCCACACCCAGAGCCCTGACCACTGGCCAGCCCCAAACCCCACCACAGCCCTGACTAACCCACTTACAGACAGGAACACTGAGGCCAGACGGCCACACAGTAGCTTGGGGTCTCGAGAGAGAGAGGGGCCCGGGGAGCCTGGCCCGCCCTCTCCGCCAGCACCTCGGACTCTGGGTGGTGTTCCCTGATGAGGGGAGGGGCCTTTGGCCTTGACCAGAATTGAACCCGGAACCCTTCAGTCCGTGGGTGACACTCTGCCCACTGAGGCAAAGCGGCCAGGGCGGGAAATTTCACGGGAAGATGCCCGGGGAGGCCGGGCTGCCGAGTGCGAGAGGCGGAGGCGCCTGTCTGCTGGGACCTGCACCTGCTCAGCAGAGCTCAGGGGTCTGGTCTGTTTCTCATTTTGGTTTCCCAGGACCAAAACCACCTCTCAAATCCCTGCCCGGCCCCGGCCCCCCTGGAATGACTGAGTCAAAAGAAAGCAGCGCTTCCCTCCACAGGATGAGACAGCGGGGACGGAGGCGACACCTCCCGCCCGGCCAGCATGGGGCGGAGCTGAGGGCGTCGCAGCTGCTCGTGCACCTGGTGGCGCCACAGCACTACTGGTGGGGTCTCAGGCACAGGCCCTGCGGACAGGCACCCGTTTGCCAGCTCAGGGGACTCACCACAGGCCCCCACGTCACTCACCAGCCTGGCCACCAGCTCGCTCAGGTGCAGGCCGTACTTGGCCACCACGGGCCGCAGCACCTCCGTGACGGGCTTGGTGGGCTTGGCCTTGAGCCCCACGGAGCGGTTAATGGGGACCAGATCCAGCCTGTGGGGGAGAAGCGTGAGCACATCCACGCATCCACCCAGCCTCCACTTCGCTGCGCTGGGCCCCTGACCCAGCCCAGGTTCTGGCTGAGCGGCGGGGGCTGCTGGAAGGGTTTCTGGGAGGAGAGAGGGGCTGTCACACCAGCAAAGAGAGAACCCCTCCCTCACAGGATGGCCAACTCCATGCAGCTCGCCCACCCCTGGGACAGGAGCGGCCCGCTGCCCACCCCGTTCAGGACGGGCCCAGCACCCTGGGAGCTCACGGGAATGGCAGCTTCTCTTTTCTCACCGAAATAAAGTCCGCTTTTCTAGGCGCAGGTCCCTGGATGCCAAGATGCTGCTGTCCTGATGCAGCACCAGGGGCTTGAGGACAGGAGGGACAAGAGGGGCATCAGAGGGAGCGGGCGCCCTGGGCTGCAGACGCGCCGGTGCAGGGCCCTCTGGGGGCAGCAGAGGCGCCGCTGACACAGACCACCCGGCATGCGGGCCCAGCCGCGGGGCCGCGGAGCGCAGAGCAGGTCACCGCCGGGGCCTACCACCAAGGCCAGGAGGGCAGCGGGGGGCCCACCAGTACCTTGTCCCCGCCCACCAGGAAGAGGTCCACAGCAGCCCCATTGATGCCATGCCGCTCGCAGAGCCCGGCCAGGACCTCCTTGATGGGGAGCCCCGCCCGCACCAGCGCCGTGCAGGGCGTCCCGTCGGGCAGCTGGATGCGGCAGTGCTTGGCGGCCTTGTCCCTCTCGGGCGCCAGCGTCCTGCAGGCCTCTGACTGGGGAAGAGATGGCGCGGGGTCACAGGGAGCTTGCGGGCACCCCAAGAAGAGCTATGGAGCTGGCAGCACCTAGGGAGGCACATTCAGCTCCAGAGATGTGGGCCCGCGGGGACACCTGTGTTGTGCACTTGGGCGGGGGCCTCGCTAGCACAGGGACAGCTGTGCCCAAGCTTTGCCCAGCCTCGAACCCAAATGCTGCCGGGCCTCATGCAGCCGGCTCTCCCCGAGCAGGCCGCGCTGTGACGCTGAGCTGCCCTCGCCCACCCCAGTCCGGGGGGACCACACGGCGGCTGGAACACCCCGGGGCCTGAGGACCAGCCCAGCCGGGGCCCCTCTGCTATTTCCTGTCATCTTTCCGCCCGACCTCCCGGCCCAGGCTCCAAGGCCCCTCTGAAAGGAACAGCCTGATCCAGGGGAGAGCCAGCTGAGGGCAGGGGCTGGGGCACTGAGGGGCAGGCAGGGCTGGGGGCACAGGGCCGCCCTGTCTGCCCAGGGAGAGCTAGCGGCCTCCTCCAGAGCAGGAAGGCATCCACCTGCCAGCCGGCCTGAGAGCCGCGGACACACTGTGGGGCAGGCGGGTCTCTCACCACAGCAGCCTCCGGGCAGGGCCGGTCAGCCTGCAGGACTCTCGCCCAGGCCCAGAGCTCGGAAAACTACTCGTGAGCACCCGACCTCTGCACCAGCCAGCGGTGCTCAGAGGCAGGGCTGCTGGGCGGCGGGATGGGGGTGAGGCCAGCCCAGGGCAGCGGGGTCTCTCCTGACCCTCCCCTGGGCCTGAGTCCCAACTCGCTTCCTCACCGGAAACGCCCTGCACAGGCCCTCCTGTGGGCATGTTCCCTGGATGCTGCGAGTCCCCCCCAGGACTCAGAGAGCCGCTCTGTAGGGGGTAGACTGATGGCAATAGGCCCAGCAGCCCCTTCCCACAGACAGTGCACCACGGGACTGCGGCCAGCGTGGTTCTCACTCAGTTCCGCTGGTCCAGGCAGCCGTGGAGCAGTGGTGAGTGACGCCGGTCAGCCCTGGCAGCGGAGACGAGGTTCTGCTGCTGCCCGACAGGTCCCAGTGACCAGACGCCACAGCGGTCAGGCTGCCCAACTGGGCCCGCTCAGCCGCCACCCAGGGTGCGGGCCCCAGGCAACCAGGCAACCAGAGAGCGGGTGTGAGGACAGAGAGGGGCCTCCGGAACCCCCAAACACAATGTCTGGGGCAGTGGGACGTTCAAGGACGAAGCAGCCGTTTTCTGTTCTCAGCGGGACTCTGACAGCGGAACTGAATGAGAACCACGCTGGCCGCAGTCCCGAGGAGCACCGTCTCCCAGGCTCCTCACCGTCTCAGGAGCCCGCCTTAGGCGTGGGTATGGGCTTGGTGACAGACACACTGTGGGCTCCGTGAGGCAGCGCGGCCTGTGGGCCGAGGCAGGTGGGGACTTACCAGGTCCAGGCTCCCGGCGGAGGACACGGAGCCCTGCGACTCCCGGCGGCCCAGGCCTCCGTTGGCGTGCGGGGCGTCTTGAGGGGAAACACAGCGACTCAGATCACACAGCCTTATTGTCCCACTCCACACAGAAACCCACCCCCTGGTCACAGCCCCCACCCCACTCCCCAGGCTGAGCACACGCAGGCGAGGGCAGGAGGCAGGACGGATGGCAGGAACAACAGGCCTCCAGAGGTTCTGCCGCCCTCCCCCATCGTGCCCTCCCGAAGCTGCTGCAGCCCGGGAGCCCCACAGCTGCAGAGACAGGCTCCACTCTGTCCGCCCTGTCCCCCCATCCCGCCACCGGCGCAGCGGCTCCGGGCAGGTCAGAGCGCAGGGCAGTGCTCCTGGGCAGCCCTCCTCCCTTTGTTAACTGGATTCTGACCCAGCTGGTGGTTTCTGGGCCTGAACAGAAACTGTCCCCTGTGGACAGTGGTGAACACCCGGTGGCCACCACACCTTTACCTGTGGCTCATGTCACGTCTTCCCACCAAGTCCTAGCTGAGTCCTGCTCCACTGAACTCACGTGACCCCAGGCTGAGCTGGGAACCATGAAAACCCACCTGGAAGGGCCTTTTCCAACCTGGGGTCTGCTGCCCAGTCCCTGCTGTGCCAGCCTGGAGGCAGTGGGGCACGGACACAGGGGAACTGGGTCCCCTGACCTTCTGAACCATTGGCCCACCTTCCAAAAGCTTCCCACATCACCAAGTCCAATTCCCGGGCAGTGCTCTCTAAGGAGCCTCCGGGTCCTGTTGGGGGACAGACTGCACGAGGCGCGCATGGCCCAACTCCCGGCACAGCCTTTGAGATTTACAATAAAAAGACAATTTGGACAAAACTGAGGGCGCACCATGGCCACTCTGAACCACAGGAGGGCGGTGCAGCCCCGAGCGCTGGACAGAGCCGCCCGGAGCACGGGTCCCGGTGCCGTCTTTCCTAATTGGGTGTATTTTCCTAATGTTTCCAGCGCCTATTCCTGCTGGAGCCAGAGGAGCACCGGAGAGGACAGGCCACGGGAGGGGGCGGGAGACCCAAAGCCCCGTCTGCCTGGTGGCCGCCCGTGCCCGCTGCCGTGGCCCGCCACCGCACACCACAAACCGTTTGCGTGGTCCCCATGGCCCTTCTTCTTCTGGGACCGCCCGGTGCTCCTGGTCCTGGACCAGGAGAAAAACACGCCCTTCCGCTTCCGTTCGCTGTCCTCGTCCAGGTCTTCGTTCAGGGACCGTCCTGATCGCGATTTCCCCGTCAGCTGTCGCCAAGTGGAAAACCGTGAGAAACCAAGTGCGTGGCTTCCACACGCACGGCGCACTAGGCAGCGGAGGAGGAGCAGCGAGGCAGTGAGAGCTGCTCTGCAGGCGACGCAGGCCCGTCTGGAGACGGCGGCTGGACCCCAGCGGCCCCCCGTCCTGCCTCAGCCCGCGTGTCTGAGGAGGGCCTGCATTCTCCGGTGTGAGGGAACCCCACATGGCACAGCGTCCCCCCCCGCAGAGCAGCTCCCACCGGGACGCCAGGCGGCACCTTCTTTGGCGTGGACACGTTGGAGTGGTCCGAGCTGACGCTGTGCTTGGAGGCCGGGCTGCTGGGCACCTGCTGCGAGTCGGGGAGGGAGCGGCCCTCCACCTCGGCCAGAATGCACTCCTGGTACAGTGGGGACTTGAGGAAGCGCGTGTAGCTGTCAAACTTCATCAGGTTGAAAATCTGCAGAGCCCACGCATGGCGTTGGTTAAGAGAACAGGAAGTCACCCTGCAGGCTCGGGGCTGGGACCTCAGGCACGTCTGGCCTGTTCTGAAAGGACGTCATTAGCCCATTTTCTCCCCTCGCCCCAGAGTTCCTCTACATCTGACTACCCTTTCCCGTAACACGCAGTCTTTCATTTGACACAACCAACAAGTCCCAGCACCCCGATGGGGCCAGCCCCACAAGGAGACGGCGCCGCGAGGTGCGACCTTGGGGAGCTGTACCTGTCAAGAATGGCCCCAAACCAGTCCCGCCATGAGGCTCAGGGGTTGAGCATCGACGTATGAACCAGGAGGTCAGGGTTCAATTCCTGGTCAGGGCACATGCTCGGGTGCAGGCTCCATCCCCAGGAGGGGGCAGCCAGGAGGCAGCCGATCACTGATGTTTCTCTCTCTCTCTCTCTCTCTCTCTCTCTCTCTCTCTCTCTCTCTCCTCCCTCCCTCCCTCCCTCCTTCCCTCCCTCCCTCCATCTTTGAAGCAAAAACATATTTAGAAAAAAAGAATGACTAAACCTGTGGGCATCTGGGGGAGCAAGGCCTGCGTGGGACACGCTCCCCTCTGTGTCCCTGACTCAGGGCTCCGCTGCAGGGCTCTGGCCAGCCTGTGGGACGCGCTCTACAACCAGCTACCTAACACGGGCCCGGGCACACTCACCAGCACAGTGACGTGCTGAAGTGGGAAACTCCAAGCTTACACAGCGGCTGGGCAAGAGTAAGCTTACTCAGCACAAGTAGAGACGGGCACAAGAACAAACCGCTTCTCCTGCTCACAACTACCCGGCTTCTGCCCCGCTCTGCCAGCAGCACCGAGAGGCTGCGGGGGGCGCGCCCGCGGCAGAGGGGGGCCGGGCTCACCTGGAGCTGCTGCTCCTTGAACATGTCAGGGTGCGGGGCGCTGAGGATGTCGTCTGCCAGCTGGGCCTGGCTGTCGATGTTGACAGGCGTGGTGGCTTTGCTGCACAGGAACGTGCTGAAAATCTCCCGGGCCCTGTAGGAGAGCTGCCAGAACACGCGTGTGAGCCATGTGAGACAGCCCTGGGGCAGTAATAAACAAAGTACAGGCCAGCATGAGACAGAACTTTCCCGATGGCGATTCCTAGCGTGCGGCACCGCCACCACCACCACCACCGGGAGCGCCAGGTGCCGGTCCGTGCGCACTGGTCTCTGTGAAGTGGAGCTGGGCTGGTGCAGCCCCGAGGTCACGTGCTGCCAAGTGGCCTCACTAGATGAGGGGGACCAGGCTGGAAGCCCTCGCACTGCCCTCCCCCCTGCGCGGGGGCGCGATGCTGGCAGGCATTTCGCAGGCTGTGCTCAGCACAAGGAAATGCCACAGCCGCCCGAGAAGCCGCTCTGAGAGTGTGGACCGTGTGAGGGTGCTTTCACACCCTCGCCACCGCCCCAATCCTCACGAAATCCTGCCCGTGCCCCCCTTTCCTGGCACCAAGGAGCATGCGTACCTCTTTTTTGTCGTGTGCGGGCACATGACTAAAGTATTCACAGGCCTGCCAGAATAGAATGTTTTCTTCACTGAATTCCTTCCTTAGAAAGTCCTAGAAAAACATGGTCAATGAACTTCCACCCAGGCTCGGAGGAGAGGGTCAGTATTCCCAGGCCCACCTCCCCGAGGACTGCTCCCAACCTTCCCTCTCCCTCTCAGAGGGGGCTGGGCACTGGCCACAGTGTAGCCGAGGCGGACATACCAAAGCCGCCCTATGGGAAGGAGCCCGTGCGGCAGCCTCTGCATGGCGCCCAGACCCCACGGGCAGCAGGACCCGCCCTCCCGGCCTTCTGAGACTCCGATGCTGAGCCCGGCGTCCTACTCACTGAGAAGTACCGCACACCCAGGGGGTCCTGCAGGAGACGCTCAAAGGACACGGCCCAGCTGGCGACCCTCCGCTCGCGCAGGCGCCTGCAGCTCTGCACGCTGGGGAGGCTGGCATTGCTGCTCAGGCTGTGGTTGCTCACGCAGTCCTTCAAGTCAGCGCCGTTCAGCTCTGTGGGACCAGCACAGACCTCACTGCAGGGGCAGCCCCACTCCTGCCCGCAGCAGCGACCGGGGGCTCTCACCAGTGTCTCCTCTGGCACCGCACTGGGCACCGCACCGGGCACCACACCGGGCACCGCACTGGACGCCCAAGACGGCCCTGTGCTCTTCCAGGCACCGCGGACAGAGCGCGGGCCCGCGGCTGCAGGGCGGCACACTCGGCAGAGGAGGCGGCCACAACCACGAGGCGCATGAGGGCGGGACGGGCCTGTGGAGCCGCCCACTCACACTCGTGCACTCCTGCCCTGGGCTGGGCCGAGCGCAGCCTCCAGGCAGTGTCCAGAGGAGGTGTTTCGGCACACCTGTCGGTGGGGACAGGCTACCCTATGTGGTAAGTGCCACCTGTGCCGCAGGAGGCTGGCTGCCGAGCCATCTGCAAAAGGGCACTAGAGACTGCCTAAGCACGTGCACACACATGACACTAACACGACATTGTGTGTCAACTGTGATGGGTAAACTAAAAAGTATTTTAAACGCAGGAAGAACAGAGAGCACAGTGAGATTCAAACGGAAACTAGGAGCCGTGGCTCCATTGTCTTCATGTGAGCTCTCGAATAATGCCCCACGGCACCTCACCACCTCCTGTGAGCACCGGATGCCAGTCCCCGCATGGGCAGGCCTGCCAGTGAGGTCTGAGAGGAAGGGGTGGAGGCCAGCCGGGCAGGAAGAGGGACATGTCCACAACTGGAAGGGCAAGCTGCCCCGTGAAACGGCCCATTCCCGTGTCCCAGCGGGGCTCTCCGTCTGCGTGCCCTGGGCCTGTGCGCAGCCGCTGCCTGGCTGGTCGTGGTGATGTGACCAGCGCACTAATTAATGGGCTCCAGCTCCAGGCCAACCATTTAGGAGGCATCTTAGTAGTGACGAGGGGTGGGGGCAGGGGTAGGGGAAGGGGCGGGGAGAAGGCTGGTGAGGGGCTGGGCGAGTGGTCAGCGGGGACGCTCGCCTTTCGATGAGCCCCCTCCACAGACGTGCTGACAATGAGGCCCACAGCTCAAGGGGCAGCTCAGAGCCCGGAGGCTGCAGGGGCCTGGCCAGCCCCCGCACCGGGGAGCGTGCGTCTTCAGGGCCAGGAGTTTGGCCACTTGGGATCCATGTGCCCACAAGAAGCCCCTCTGTCCAAAGGCTCCGGAAGCATTCCCACATGGAAAGGAGAACAGGGCAGAGTCATCTGATCGCTGTGCTACCCAGGAAAACCCAAGTCAGACTCAGAAGCTACATGAGACCAGAGGTCGCTGACTTCCCTGAGACCGCTCAGCCCTCAGGCTGTGCGTGCCATGTGTGAGATGAAACGCGGCCTCATGAAGGCTGACGGAGCCTGGCCACACGCACGCTCAGCAGCAGGCCGGGTGTGCAGAGGGTCCTACAGAAAGTGACCTCACAGGGGGTCCGGTCCTAAGTCCCACACGGGGCAGGCACAGTGGGTGGTCCGCCCAGGCCTCCGCCTTCTGTGGTAAAGGTTCCTCTGCCCGGAGCCCTGCCCGGAACTGTGCCTCTAGGGGCACACCTGTGACCCGCCTCCTTGAAGCTGTAACACCGGGAAGGGGAAGAAGAGCTAACAGTGCAGGATCCTAACCGCTGTAATCCGATCCCCTTGCCCTCCCGCCTCCAGTAATCTCCTTCCATCCCCTCCTGATTCCAAACGCACAAACAAGCTGCCAGCTCATTCTGGGAGCATCTGGGATCTGCTCCAGGCATGTGCTCAAATAAACTCATAAAAATTCTCTACAGGTTTGGATGTTTTGGGCATCGACAGGATATAGGAAATACTCCCATGTACACTCACACATGCATGTGTGCGCGGTCTCTCTCTCTCTCTCTCTCTCTCTCTCTCTCTCTGGCTGGGGCCCAGCTCTGAGTTTAACGTCTGTCCAGTAACTGGAGCATGGAGGGGCTCAACACCATGACGTTAATGCTCCCTAATTAGCATCCAGCCCAACGCACTTCCCAACAGATGTTGCTGAGAACTAGACAAGCTGCGTGGAGGTTCGTGTGGAAAACCAAGCCTGAAACAACGGAGAACAAAAAACAAGGTGAGCAGGGCCAGCCTCCCTCCAGTCGCCGCTGGTCCTGGGCTGGGGCAGAAACAGGCCCATCACTGGACAGAACGCAGCTGGGCTGCTCCGTCAGCGGAGCAGACCCCCCTCCCCCCATAGCTGCTGAGGAACAGGCCTCCGATCCCTCCCACACACCAAAGCCAATGCCACTGGCCAAAGACATTGAAACCACGAAATTAAGAAGCACGAGGAAAAACCAGCGTCCCATCTTCAAGTATCTGATAGGAGCCGCACGGCACAGCCCGGAACATAGGAGACAACAGTGATTCGATGGCACAGGCCGGTGGGCGCCGGAGGTGGTGTGGGTAGTGGCATGGGGGAGGGGCAAGGTGGAAACTTCCAGATATAAAAGGGACGCGTGCTGCGAACTTTATGGACAGTAAGGGGACTGCAGTTGGCAACACTGTGCTGTGTGTCTGAAAGTTGCTCAGAGAACAGTAGTCTTCATGGCCCTAGCCAAGTATCCCAGTTGGTGGGAGCATCGTCCGGATACACCACGGTTACAGGTTCAATCCCTGATCAGGGCGCACACAAGAAGCAACCAATGGCCCTGGCCAGTTTGGCTCAGTGGATAGAAAGTCAAACCACAGATTGAAGCGTGGTGGGTTTGATTCTGGTCAAGGAATATACCTCGAGTGCAACCCCTGACCCAGATCGAGACAACCAATCGATGTGTCTCTCTTACATTGATGTTTCTCTCTCTTTGTCTCTCCCCAGACCTTCCACTCCTCAAAAAATCAATGGAAAAATAATCCCAGGTGAGGATTAACAAAAAACACACAAAGCAACCAATGAATGCATAAAAAAGTGGAACAATGAATTGATGTTTCTCTCAAATCAATAAATTTAAAAAAAAGACGTTCTCATCACAAGAAAAGTTTCTGTAATCATATGAGGTGATAGACATTAACTAGACTTATTGTGGTGATCACTTCACAACATATATACATCACATCATTATAGTACACTAACCTGACACTGTACATCAATTATCCTATATAACAAAAGCCTAATATGCTAAGTGTCTGTTCGTTTGTTCAACCAATCAAAGCATAATGTGCTAATGATATGCTAAGGCCGCTCTACCGCTCACTATGATGTGCACTGACCACCAGGGGTAGATGCTCTGACAGGTAGGTGAGCTTCCTGCTGGGTTCTGACTGATCAGGACTAAGTGAGATGGGCTGGACATGCCCTGGAGGCCTCCCGAATTCCCTCTCTGGCTGGCCAACCTCCCATGTCCCTCCCCTGCCCTGATCGTGCACAGGTGGGGTCCCTCGGCCTGGCCTGAGTCCTCTTGCAATCTGGGACCCCTCAGGGATGTTGGAGAGCCAGTTTGGTCTGATCCAGCAGGCCAGGCTGAGGGACCCCACTGGTGCACGAATTTGTGCACTGGGCCTCTAATGTCTCAATAAAAATAAATAAATAAATAAATAAGATAAAATCTCTGTAAAAAACACCATAAGTCAAAAGACAAAAAAGAAACCTTAGGGGAATATATATAATCCATTATACACACAAAAGACTCACTTTCTTTATGTTTAAAAGTCCTTCATGTTAATGAGAAAAAGCTCCATAAAGCAGAGGAGCACGGAGAAGAGTATGACGGTGACCAGCAAGAGCTACGGTGGCTGCTAACCTGGTGGCAGTGTGTGCAGCTCCCCCCCACAAGCTACGAGTTTAACGAGGGGCCACTTGACACCTACTGCCGGCCAACGCCCTCAGAGGACCTGAGCAGAGGGCCCTGTGTCTTTAACCTGATAAACAAGATGACCTTACAGATGAATGAGCTCTTTTTAAAACACTCGCACTATGAGCACCAGCACATCTGTCATGAGCTGCTTTCCCTGGAGGCAATACTGAGGGGAAGCAGTCAGCGGCCCTCAGGGAAGTGGGGAAGCTGCTAGGACAGGTGAGCCGTGCAAAGCCCCTGGCCGGAAGAGGCCTGCCGCCAGGAGCAGTGCCTGGTGCCCTGGGGACAGTGACACACAGAGAAGGCCAAGAAGAGAAGCTTCTTCCCACGCACACGAGGTGGGCAGCCCTGAGCTCTGTCCTGCAGGCCAGTGAGGGGCTGGGGCCGGGCAGGGGCCTCGGAGCTGGGGAGGCAGGAGGAAGACCTCAAGCTGCAGCCGAGGCGCGAGCCAGCACGGTGTGGGAGCCGTTATTTCCCATGAAAGGTGTTTGGATCCAACAGCACCGCAAGCAGACTGGCCTGGAGGACTCTGCCGTCCCTACCCCGGGGTCCTCGCTCTCCCTGTCCCCTGACCCCATAGGGTCAGAGCATTCCTGCTTCTTCCTTCCAGCCTCCGTTCTCTCCTATGGAAATGCACCCACCACTGTTTGGTTTCTGACTGAACACCCACTGCCTGCTTCCTGGCCCCCAACTCAAAAACCAGGGGTGCTACAGACGAGACAGCAGACCGTGACGGGAGGCCGGGCTGCACACCACCTGAGGCCGCACCCCAGTGCTCCCTGCTGACCAGCCAGGGCTCCTGGGACGGGCCGTGCACAGAGCATGCTCATACAGAGCGGGAGAGCCACGCCATGGTGGAGAGCCCCAGGGCTGGGGGAGGCGGGAGCTGCCCTCGTGGATTACAAAAGCCCAGTATGCCCTGCATCCTCGCCTCACAGGGAAGGCCCTCACCTCGGATCCCTACCCCCAATGCTAGACCTATGCACACCCCTTTGGGCACTCTCGGCCTGCTCTTGACACAAGGAGAATGGTGCACGTTTATGAAGGATGACCTTGAACCTGAAATGGAATTCCTTCCAAGGCCAGCATTCCCACCCACCTCCAAGGCCAGGAGAGGGCATCTCCAGGGGCCCCCTGGTGCCTGTGCCCTCTCGGACCAGGTGGGTGGCAAACCAGGCGCCGCCCCCAGTAGAGTCCACCCAC